TTTACGTATATTAATTTTGGGATTCTTTCAACTCCGTGAAACGGATCTTAACATTTGACTTTTTAAAGACACAGTATTGCTAACCAAAAATTTATCCACAATAATAGGTTAAATGCAGTAAGTAAAATAAAAGTGCTTAACTAGTAAATGTAGACAACACTGTTGCACAGTCTGTCTTCAAAAAAATTTTACTTCATAGTAATATTACTATTATGATATGGTATGTTTTTGTGTGCTTTAAATAAAACAGTGGTTATTTACATTTATTTATAGCCTTGTTATTTTTAATAATGAATTACTCGTATATGTAAACATGAATTTATTTATTAAATTTGCGATAGCATGCTTATTAATAATAAAAATACAAATGTAAGCGTACTAAAGGGGCTCGTGGTATTTTGTTTATTTAAATAGTAATCCTAAATGCACGACATTGGTAGAAATTCTGTTGCAAAAAACGAGACTAAAATTTTAAGTCTGTTAAACTTGGTTTTTTAATTTTGTAAATATTTTTTTGTTTATTTGCTGTAATAAAAGATATTAAAATTAATTGTACCCACGAAATTATGTTAAGTAATATTTTGCGGTTTGTTAAAATATAGATATTTTCTTACTTTCAATTATGAATAATAGTATTGTTGCTTATTGTGATTTGTCTTCTTTCACATTAATGGGACTTTTAAGACTATGTCGAATAACACTGCAATATCAAATTGACATTGACAACTGCAAATTGCTGTTTAGTTGAATTCTCTTTGGTCCTCTTGTAGATTGCTAGCAAAGACAGTAAAAAACTTTTTTACTGTATTGTCCGTCTGTGTGTTGTAACCGTGATACTGTTGTTGGTCTACCTACACTACACGTCTTTCTTGAATTTTCAATACAAAAAATTTAGTTAGTTTGTTTCGGCAGTTGTAGTTATTGAAAGTTTCGTGGTTTCATGTCTTTTGGTAAATACCTTTTGTTATATTTGTTTAAATCGGCTTTAAAAAATAATATATATTGTGAATGAATAATGCCTAAAAATAAAAATCCCTGTTTCTCTGAGATGGGAAGGAGACCAGAGACAAAGTGGATTTTTAAGTATTTTTTATTGAAAATATATTTTAGTCATTGTGAATGCAAAATTGATAAAAAATATAAGAATTTATGTGTTTATACTCAGACCAAATTAAAAGTAATTTTTATTTGGTCTGAGTGTTTATATTTAGTGAACTATAGAAGTAAGTACTATTTTTATTTTCTTCACTAGTTCTTATTTCACTGCTGCAAAGTTACTGCTTCTTAACAAGTTCTGACAAGTTGAGTAAATGAACCCAAGTTAGAAATTTGATTTAATCAACACAATCACTGGAATAGCTGCCACAAAACCTTCATAATCAAATATGTTTCTTGCACATATTATTTATGCAATTTCTTTCAATTTATAATTAAAAATATTGTGCAATGTTATTGTAGTTATGTGGGTCAGTTATATAAGGAAGGATTGTTTTTAACAATAATACCTAAAAAAATAAATTAACCTTAATTTTAAAAAAATATATAATTACATATTCCTGCCGCTTCATATGTGGTAGAGAGTGAGTGGGACTCTGCATAGACCTATTAGAAAGGTCATACCTACCCTTGTAACGGTGTGTCGTTTCACCGTTTTTGCTAACCTTTTTCTTTATTACCGTATAATAAAATCAAGTTCTCCAGCTTAGTCAGTCTTTCATCTTTTCGCCCAAGCATCAAACCCATCACACCCTAGAATATGCATATCATTTTTGCAAAGTGAAATATTTATGAATATTGCCAAATTTCCTTGGTCTTTTTTTATGTTTCTGTTCTTTAATGTCATTTTATATTATTCCTTTTCTATAATTTAAAATTAGTGTATACATTTGTAAACTGCACTCAAATAAAAAAAGTTTATGGTTCAAGTTTCAAGCAACATATTTTAAATTCGAACTCACCATTATCATCATACCTAGTCTAGCTATAAGTTCTGTCACAAAGGAAATATCCGATGACTTCTAAAAAAATTATTTTATTTTAAAGTTTTATATGTGATAATGTAGAGTGAAAAAGATATGTTAACGAACTAAACTAATTATTTAAAGTGTAACTAATTATTTTTTTAGTTACACTTCTAATTAGTTTAGTCCGGCGACGGTTTGGTGTCTTATGGCGACTCTGGAGAAGAGGACTGTGACAATATAAACAGGTTGAATCGAAACCAATTGCTTACCTCTGCCGAAGTGATTATGTTACAGCGTGACTGTGATGATGACGACAAAACTACAAATGAGGTCAGTGGAACGACTTCTTCAACTGTCGGCGACTGTACTCCTCCAATATCAACCACAACACATAGGTCACGGTGTCACCATCATGATGAAGATTCTTCCTCAATTGAGCCATCTATTACGATTGATGATGATTCTCGTACTCAATCGTAAGTGGGTAAAAAGGGATTTCATTCCTCAACAAGTCGATTGGTCCTCTCCACCCCCACGAGTGGTGCGCACTCTCAATAAAGATAGTGAAGCTATAGAATTTTTTGAATTGTTTTTAAATGTAGATATTATAAGATACATAGTCAGACACAGTAATATACTCAGTTGAAAAACATAATATGAGTTTCACTCTTTTGATGTCGCTGTCAATATTGCTACATTGCTTGCTAGATCGTATGGAGCAAACGTTGATACACCAAACTTTCGTCGATCTATTGCAAGGACTTTACTCAAGAAATATGGAAATATGAACCCACCAGAAAAAGATGTGCGCTGTGGACAAATAAAACAATTAAAATGTGCGGCAAGTGTGGTGTAAATCTGCACGAAAAATATTTTGGACAATTCCATTCGTAAATGATTATCATTTTATTGCACTATTATAATTGAATTATATATGTGCCAAAGTTCCTAATTAAAATTGAGACTGATTGAACCTAAAGACTTAACAATAAATAATGATTTTCGATAGCATGAAGTTTTGTTTTAATTTATTTCTGCGCCATACTAGTGTACGACCATATATACGCAAGGGGTCGTTTACGACCCATTAAAAAAAACCAACTTCTAGCACAAAAAAAAAATAAAAATTAGCGTTACATCCGTTGTTTGTGGTTAGAAAGGAATAGCTTATGTGAAAATCGTAAAAATCGGTGCGAAAAATAGTTCTGCGCATATATGGGTTAGCTTTGACACACGCTTTTAAATAGTTGGATCATTCGTCAATGGATTAACAAACGGTTTCCATTGGAAACTTGGTCACTGTTGCCTCTAAAGTTTTTCGACTTAATATTTGGATGACCCTTAGAGCAGGCCATGTCCTCTAGCACAGACCACAATTTATAGTCCAAAGGGTTCAAGTTCGCACTAGCCAAAGGCCAATCATCAGCCTTTTCTGAAGTCTGGAACATTTTACTTAAGCCAAATTTGGTTAGTGCGCGCCTTATGGCCTGGGGCTGAATCCTGTTGCAATGTCCCCACTTCGTTTTTGAATAGGGTGTCATTGAGAGGTTTAACTAACGCTTCTAACACAGTATCTTGATACACTTTGGCTGAAGTTTTCACTCCTTTTTTCGCAACAATGGAGTTTTGTAACCCTTTGGCAGGAGACACCCCACTTAACCATGACGTATGCTCAATGATGGCCTCGCTGAACTTTGGCCACAAGCTCGGAAGCTTCTTTAGAGCTGTGTGCATACACTCGACCATTTTGTTTGTTGTTAGTGCTTCTCTATTATAAAAACTTTTTCATCTATAAAGAGATTTTTTCTGTGTTTTTCGTCTGCGTATCGAAGTAACAGCTGTTTTGATGTTTCGGCTCTCTTTTGTTTAGTGTCTGATTTAAGGTATGTCCTATGTATCTCCGGGAAGCCCCTAGACCTAAGGCTTGTTTAATAATCCGAGAAAGTGTGTTGGGATTCTCATTTCTCTGGAAAGGATTTTCTGCTTCCTTATGGGATTTCGACAAATTCTGGCCTTGACTGCATTAACGGCCTGGTTTGTTCGAATAGACACAGTCGGCCGGGTCTCTCACTTTCTTATGTACCTTTCGATGGTACGATACACAAACATTCGGCTTATCCCTAGCTTTTTTAATTTATCAAAAATGTCCACTGGCTCCTTACCTACTTTGTACAGTGCAATTACTGCAATCCTAATCTGTTTAGTACCCCACTCCATTTTCAAAACAAATAATTTCTACACAAAAAACATACAATAATGGCGGGAAAGAAGTATATTTTTTTATTGTAGAAGCTTAAGTTCGAAATTCAAATTACTGTTTTTTTAAATGTATGTAAACAGCCTGTAACAGAATTTATGGCTAGACTAGGTATTGTTTCAGTACGTTTGTGAATCCTTGCCATCAGGACAAGTGACTGCAATCATTATTTTCTTGAATCCCATACTGTAGAACAGGTGACCTATTTTTCTTCAGCAATAATTAAATGTAACCCTAGCTTCTACAGAATCTAGGGTTCAGCAGAAATCACTGGTTGAAAAAGGCACTTCAAGATGTTCTGTGTATTAATTTAATAATCTAATAATAAGAATAATAGTGACACAATGCAAAAAATGCCATTTTCAGCAATGAGCGTTTCAAGTTCAAGAAATTGTAATCCGCCCCACTAAACAAAGTATCATCACTACGCCACCCAGCAGTTTCTATGCAAAGATCCCTATGATACGTTCACAGTACTTTGCATTTTAAAGTTTATACTTAACAAAGAAAAAAGTCACCAAAGTAAAAAAAATACCTTGTTTTTGGTTAGTGACATTGTCATTCTCAACGTGCGATATCATGATATGACATGAAAAATTAAAATTACTGTTGATTCATTTTACATTTAGAAGTTAATTTATTCACTTGACATTGGCAGAATGAGTGCGAAATGCGCATATAAGCCGTTAAAAAAAAGAAGAAGAAGACAATATCATATATAAGTTTATAATAGAGTAAATGTTATTCTTTAACCTTCAAATTTATTTTTCAGTCACAATATGGAGAGCATGGAAACTGACTTAGTCTCTCGAGATGAGAGTGAAAGATTGGTGTCAAGAACTTATCAAACGCAGCTGGAAGAAATTGCAATTAAAAAAAATACTATCATACATCTCCCTACAGGTTTGTTATGTTTATTAAAAAAGCATTTGTATGTTTTTTATTTTCAGAAAAATAATATTGACCAACAAAGAGCTTATTTGAAAATAGTAAATTGTTACAATGTGTCAAAGGATTCATTATTACAAGTTAATTTTGCTACCAAGATTTTAAATAAGTAGTAAATAGAAACTCAGTTTTTCACTTTGATTGAACAAAATAAATTACATCTTTCAATTTTCAAAATTGTGTAGAGGGAAATTCGAAGTTTGCAATAATTGTGTTATCCAAAATAATAAATACTCGTATTAGGTCCTTACATATGAAATTGATGTTTGGGATGGGAGGAAAAAAAAGTCGAATATTTTTAATATAATATATATTTATTTAATCAAAGTATAAACCATTGTTATCTATGCACTTTTGCCATCTCATACCTATGAGATGGCAAAATAATATAATTGATCCCCTTACTAAAAAACCATTCGGACGGGAATCAATTGCTTCATGTGGATTAAAACAGTTTTATTACTAAAACCACAGCCTGCAGTTAACTCGGACGTGGTTTGTGATGGATCCGCTTCCACAAAAGCCTTTAATTCTTCATTATTAACTAAGGTTTTCAGCCGTCCACGAGGCTTGTTCTGCAGGTCGAAATTTCCAGAACGAAAACGTTGGTACCAAAAACGCACTGTGTTTTCTTTTGCGACACTACACATCATTATACCTTCGAGTCGTTTCCGCAGCACTGGTACCACGGTGGAACTAGTACTCGTAAATAACACGATACTTCAAGTTTTCCATTTTTTATACTAGTTGACGTAAATAAGACAAAGACAAGAAAAAAGAAAGACAAATGAATGGCGCTTAAAGAAACACGTGTGTATAAATTTGAATTTGGAATTCCCAACTAAGGAGGAGAAATTTGTGATTAAAGTGGCCAGTACGAAAAAACGCCATTTTCATATGTAAGGACCTAATATATAAAAATTAATATATCATGAGGTATAGAAATGTTTACTCAGCCGGCAATCGAATTCGGGACCTCACTGTGCCGATACTATAAAATGCCATATAACCTTGATGGAGTTTCGCCTGAAGAAGTACTGTTTAAAGATTTTTTTTAATTATTCAGCTAAAGCATGCTACTTACCATGATTACCCAATCATGCCGGCAATTACCACAAATATTTTACCGTTGCAGTTTGTTCTATATTTCTTTTTACTTGTAGGTTCTGGTAAAACTTTCATAGCTATACGTCTTATAAAGAGATTCAGAGAAGCTCTACAGAAACCATGGGGGGAAGGCGGGAAGCGCACTTTCTTTCTAGTAAACACAGTACCACTGGTTACTCAGCATGTGAGTATTACCAAAGCTCTTTTTTTAACCAAAGATTTACCTTTAACACTGGTCCCAATTGTAACACTCTAAATTAAACTAAAAAAAAGTATCTACAAGTTGGTTTTGTTATAATAAATTTATTTATAGAACTAGCTGTGCCCGAGACTTCGTCTGCTTGGGAGAGTATATCAGGAGAATTGTTTCTTTCCTTTGGTTGGGATCGAATCGAGTGGGATCAATGGTCCATAACGCACTACGCGGGCCCAATGCGAATTGATGGGTGTTAATGACTACTGATGCATCCGGGACCAATGGCTTAACTTGCATTCCGAAGCACGGAGGAACTCAAGATAATAATGTTTTGGTCATCCACCCTATGAACGGCCCTTCCGATATTTATTTTTCTATATTTTTCTCACTTCTCTCTCTGCTCTTGTGTCTGACCCTTTTATCGTACATTAATTAAAATTTGCATCCAATTATTTACTATTAATTGTTTGTGATTATTTTTATTTCAAAAGAACATAATTTTATGAGTGTCCACAGACCACCGGTTAAAAAACTACTAGTCGTGGATGGCCAGATTTTTGAGTCTTTCTCTCACGTTGGCTTTAGGGGTCGATAATCCATCTTGTACTTGACAATTTACATTTTTTGACCTGCATATGGAGGTGAATAATTATAATATTTTATGTTTTTTTATTTAATCTAAAGCAGCTGTAATCACCTTAAAAAATCCAGAATGGTAATTTCATTATTGTGTTTTCAATCAGTGTTAAGAGTTTTCTAACAAACATATAAGTAAATTCAGATTGCATTGCACGGGTACCCGGTAAAACATGATACTGTTTCATAGTTCATACTATCGAATAGTAACACTACTACTATTTTGGATTTGTAATTGATATTAAAATGGGTGTAAAAAAATTTTTATGGATAGAATAATTCAAATAATAAAAGCCCTCAATTCTATGAAAGAATTCTTTAAACCTTTTTTAGTATTAGTATTAAATAATGATTTCGTTTGTCACTTACAAACATGTATATTAAATACTTTGAAAGTCCGTTAAGACATATTCACATTGCAATATGTGAGTACATACACCCAGACCATTTCACATTGGCAATTTGGCACATGCCAATACGATAATAGTGAAATATAAAGTTATTACAGTATCTACACCATTGATATCGACTTATGGACCCACTATACATGTTAGTTTATAAAAAAGGTCACTCAACTCAAACTGATTAACTGACTTTTGCTCGAGTGAACAATTTATAAACTTATTTTTCAAAGCTGAATTAATGAAGTTACCATAACCGTGAAGTGAGGGAACTAACATTTTCATTGTTGTTAATAGATACGTAATTAAAATAAACAACATCACATCAGATTATTTTTTAGGAAAAAATATTTGATTGTTTATGATAACTAGTGGATATTTGATTGTTTATGATAACTAGTAGTCGCCCAGTGGTCGAAATTCGACCATAATAAATTTGAATTAGAAGATATTATTACTGAAATCGAAAATCTTTTGACATTCAGTAAGACCACAGTAAACATCACAAATATAAAAATAGATCTATGGTAAACATATAAAACTTGACACTGGCTAAATGCACAATCCGTGCGAAGCCAAAAAAAAAAGAAGAAATATCAAATCGAAAGAAATAAATAAACTTTATGTCAAAAGAAACAATTTTTGACCATAGAGTACATATATGCGTGTAGCAAATACCGGTTTGTGTGTGTCAACTGCATAGTAGTGTGTGTAATGTTTTATTTGTCGATTTATTGTATACTTTATAAGCATTATTATTGAAAAATATTAGCCGTTTGCACTTCTCCTAGTGCCGAACGCTAAATATAAAGCTCCTCATTAATTTTTATTGTACAAAATTTAACAGCAAACTGTTATAACTAGTATGTAGTTACCCCTTTTTTTATGTTCCGTGGTAGTTACCATGTTTTGCTACTTGTAGCGCTGCTTATCAACATTATAGCAGTGGTATTGTTAGTAAACGATTATTTAATGTAAGAATCAAACGATCTCTACGGCGTTTATTATAAGTCAATAAATTGTATAATATTTATTTTACTAATTGCATTTGATAAAAACTAACGGAAATATACGTCATGTTATCGACAAGTCGATATGTGTCCGTTAGAGTTCTGCAGATCAGGTATATTATTAATAGTATTGCATTATTAATTTAATAACATATATTAAATAATACGACTTTCTAATTTGTAACGTTAGATTGCTCTTATAATAACAAGTAGAAACCCAAATTGTAATTACTTGAAAACAGTAATTATACAAGACTAGCTTTCCCCAGCGGCTTCGCTAGCGTGGTCCTGTACAAATAAATCTTTGTCTTGAATCATTCTGTATATTAATGACAACCGCATTAAAATGCGTTGTGTTGTTTGATAGATCTCAGCGTACAGACAGCGGGAATCGACCTTGTTTTGTACACGTATAGATGAAATAATTAATTGAGTCAATATTGATTTCAAATAACAATGTTTATTTTTATTTCATTATACTGTTAAGAACTTAACTTGCGCCTTTTCGTTAAGTATTGTTAAAGCATATTATACTTATTATATTTGCTCAATTTGGATTCAAAATGCTATGCTGAAAAATAGTCTTAATGAAAAATGCTTAAAAAATCCTAGCACTCTGATATGGGACTCGAACACATCACCTTTCGTAATCCGGGCGACTGCTCTAACCACAAAGCTACCCTGGACTTAATAGGGCTGATGCATTTTTGAAGCCCTTGTTACCTTTTCGCTACTACACAGCGTATTTTCATAAGTGTTCAGGCAATTTACCCAAATAGCCAAAATATTTTTTTTACAAATATTTAAACTTTCGATTAAGATGGAAACGGATTCACAATACTATACTGAAAAATATTGGACTCGAACCCACGACCTTTCACAATCCGGGCGACTTCTCAAATATTGTTTTTTTTTTTTTTTTCTATAGAGTAAAACCATTGAAAGACTATGTCCAGTCGACGGCGTTGGAGCTTACTCTGGCGAAGACGGGGTCGATTATTGGCAAAAAAGTAAATGGAATGCAGAATTGACAAAGTATCAGGTATGTTTATGTATATAATAGAATTTATGAACAGGTATTATATAAAAGGTTTTTTTTTTACCCGGTCATCATCCCTATGACCATGTGATAGCGATGGCGACCGCGACGTGTTTTCAAAGATTGAATTTTGTGATTGAACGGACGATATGGTTCTTCTACTTTTATTTTTTAATGGCGTAGGAGACATTAAAGGAGGCGCTATTCATTGCGACGCTGACCGTCGGATTAAGGGTATGTTCCGATATACACTGCGACCACTGAACGGTATGACGTCAATTTAGTATACTGGTAGCCCGTTCCTTTATAGCTAGTTATACTGGTGACTTTTTAAAACGGAACGCAGTCCAGTATACTGTTAATCCTATTTTTGGCGCCATTTTCAAATTTGTTAATGCAAGGTGAATATAAATATAAAGATTCCCTTTTTTCAAAAGAAAATATTATAAAATTGGAAAATTGTATAAAAAAATTATTTATCAATCAAATCCATCTTATAATAAACGTAAGTATTTTATTTTATCTGTTTCGACTGATCACGTGGTCAAAAGCACTGCGAGCACTGCACCTCGAAATCTCCAGTGCTCACAGTACAAATATGGCGGCAATTCATGACGTCATAAATTTCCCTACGGTACTGTAGCAGTATACTGGCAGTCCATAACGGAACGGATTTTTCAGCAGTAAGACCACTGCGCAGTGCTCGCAGTGTATATCGGAACATACCCTAAATAAACATCATTGAAACCATTGAGGCCGGAATGAATAGGAGACATACATTTTATCGTCCACCACACGATTTAAATTTTTAATATGTTCAAAAAAAGAATTTAATTAGACGTTAATTGACGTTAATAGACGTTAATGTCTAAGGCAAGCATTAATCGCAAATATTAATTTAAGTTACTGAGTTTTTATTTAGTTCCTTGATCGTCAAAATTATCATACTTTCCGAAAGCGCTATTATAATCGCTTTTGAAATATTACGATAGCTTTTGAAATTGGACAATTGGGGCACTGGTTTATTTTTAACAATCAATATAATATATATTTCTTTTTCATATATTATGGTATCTTAAAATTTTGCTTTATACTCATATTGTGTGTACAAAATGTGCTCTAAATTGTAGACCAATATAGTACCTAAAAGTTAACATTTAGATAAATAAACATGAGGTTCTCCATGATAAGACACGCATACACATAAAACAGAAACTTCGACAAAATAATGATTTTGTATAATTGTATACATTACTCTTAAGCAAATTATCTAATCTCTTTAACTTTGTCTTCAATACATTAATTGATAAATTAAAGAGATCAAGCTCGGAGAATTCTTTATTATAAATGTTGGCGGAACGATAAAAGTATGAGTTACGTGTATAATTTTTATGCAATTTTTGAGTGCACTGGAAGACGAATGCGTGCCAAAAAGGAGATGTTAGTAAGAAGAAAAGATGAATCAATTTGTGAATTTTGAATTTAAAAAAAAAATGTGTGGTCAAGGCATCGTTATATAATCCATTTTGTATGTTATTACGAAAATTCAGAGATTTAATTACCATTTTTATATTTCTTTCTGGTCTGTTGATATGTTTTTGGTGACATGGATTCCAAATTATGCTACAAAAGTCTAAAAGAGATCGAACGAAAGAGAAATACACAAAATTTTTAGAGTTATAGTTTTGCTGAATGGTTTACTTACTCTAAGTATGATTCCTAGACTTCGAAAAGCAGAATTCAATAAAACATCTATATGTTAATTAAAGGATAAGTTGGAGTCCATAATTACTCCTAAATCTCTAATTTATTGAACATATTTCGTCAGGTCGTTGTGATGACCAGTCAGATTCTGTGTGATATGCTTACACACGGATATATACGAATTGAAGATATTAATCTCCTGATTTTTGATGAGTGCCACCACGCTGTTGAAGATCATCCAATGAGACAAATCATGAAAAGCTTCAACGAATGTCCAGTGGATAAGCAACCCAGGGTTCTAGGTTTGTCTCTATTCACAATCATGGCTAAGTTCATTTGACATGTATCGATTATATTCATATATAATAATATTTAATACTAATCTCTCGACGAAAGCGACAGCATATTAATTGTGTTAGAACACACAACCTGTGAATTATGGATTACTTACATTGACGTCCATTGACCATTGATATTAATTTAAATAACGTCCGCCTGCAGAGCGCGGGCCATTAGTGTTTGGATCAGTACACAGTACACCATAGTATATACCAAATACTATGGTGTACTGTGTACTGATCTGACTGAATCTGTCAAAGATTATGTAAGTAACAGAACGGACAATTCGATCTAAGTGTCTACGCTCTACCTTAAATTTATTTGAAGATCTATATGACACTGAAACTCCGAGGTATGAATTCGGAGCATCGAAATCTAACTCCGGAGCTAAAAAAATACTCCGATTTCGATCGGAGCCCTCGAACATATTATATATCAGTGCCAGGTTAATTTTATCGCTTGAAAAGCTTCATAATTTATACACGGGCAAATGATATACACATTAATGACAAGGAGAAATAAAAATGGCAGACATCAACATTTTTAAGTTGAACTAGCCTATATAGCCGATCGAAGTCTTCGACTCGTTTAGGTAAAAGTAGGCATAAAACATGCATTAAATTTTTGACATCGTTTAAGTACTGACATGACCTATCTACCCTTTTTTATTGTAATATCATTGCTTTATCTGGTTTATATTGTAGAACGTATACATTCAGAGTCCGATTACTGTCCCCGTGTCAGTTTGTCTTTCAGTCCGTTTGTCTATCGCTCCGTCTGAACGTCCGTCTATCCGTCTGTCTTTTTTTGCTTTGGATACTTACTTAATTTTTTATATTTCAGGATTGACTGCGACTTTGTTGAATGCAAACGTAACCATTAATAAAGTTCAGGAAACTTTACGTGTTTTAGAAACGACTTTTCACGCTACCATTGCAACAGTCAACGAATTGGGCGAAGTATTGAAGTAAGTTTAACATTGTTTTATACATTGAACCCTAGTGTTAGTATTTCTGATTTTTAGATATTTGTAGATCACATATGAGGGGTCTTTACAATAATAAGCATATAGATATTTTGTTAATTAGTGTCCATTTAGAATGACGCATCGAAAAGTGAAAATAATCAGTTTTAGTCACCTTCGGAGTTAGTAAACGCAGGAGCCACTAATTTAGAATATTTAATCCTCGTTGGGCATTTTCATACACGTCTTCGTCATCTCCTGTGCTAGCAGTGAACAGTAGAGTAGTACCATCAGCATGTGAAATGATTTTACCACCATGTAATTTAAGTTGCAAGGGCCTAATATGCTTCCCTGTAGAATTATCTAAATTAGATCTAGCTCTCAGATAATATTTATCCCCATGTCTCATGAAGCGAACTAAATTTAAGGATGAAAAACTAAGAACTATTTTTTAATTTTAACTCTACTTCTTACTGGCAATCAGTAAAATTATTTTATATATTTTTTAATTGATCAATTAATACAATATTTCAGTTACTCTTCGAATCCTCACGAGATGATTATGTACTATTCCCACCCAAGGCCCACTGAAGCTACAAATACTGCTCTATTATTACTAAACGAATTAAAAGAACTTGTATACTCTGTTAACTTGCCGCGAGTTCGGGGTAATTTTAATATCAAATTGGAACAAGGACAACAAAATATAACTTCAGATCCTAAAAAGGTAAGTGAATGATTGAAAATCTGTATGCTTAGACGAAAACTTATCAACAATATAATTATCAGTATAAAAATTTCCATTCATCATTTTCATAATTCTTTCCACATGTTTGAACCAATGGATAAGCCTAGTAATAGCAACTTCTTGTTATAAATAATATTAATGTATATAACGTGACTACACTTGGTAATTAGTTAAAAGAAATGGAATATACTTATTGTAAAGGGTCATAAGTCATAACTAACATTTTAGTTTTTTTTTTTAAATTTAAGATTACACAAAACTGTCATACTCTTAATTTGATTTAAATTTACATCTCAATGAGACCCTAGTGCAGTTCAAAATCGATTGCAAAAATTTGGCATTTTTGTAGTAACCTGCACGCGTAGCATGACAAACTCGAGAAACACTTTGTCTACACTCATTTGTCAGTTTCTCGGGTCGAGAGTGAGATATCGTATGGGCACACCCGAGAAAAGTGACATTTGAATGTAGACAAAACGTTCTCGAGTTCGTCATGCTACGTGTACTGATGTGGGTACAAAAATTATAAATAGATGTCACCAATTCAAATTCACATTGTTGGCTATCACATTCGAGAACCTAGTAGTAAATGTCCAGATCAAATACTTCCTCAAGTCCACAGTTCATGTAATTTTTTTTATTCTGTGTTTTTTTTTAATTGCAGATTGTAAAAAATGTTCAAAATATGATAGAAGGCATGAACATACTCATAATCGAATTAGGAGCCTTTGGTGGTTCTTTGGGTATTTTAGCATATATAATCCTTCTCGAACGATTAAAACGAACTTGTTCTACTAAAGAAGAAGACCTTTTATATCAAATAGCCATAACACACTCTACAGAGTGAGTCATTGATTGTTTTATTAATTTGCTATTATACCTCTGTATAACGTTGAAACATAAATAAATGTATAACCATTCACTTAGAGTTGGCCGTCTACGACAGTTACTAAATGAAATATATCAACTGGTACCGTCGACAAAAACATTGTGATTGTTTTTAACGTTTAACTTTAAGTTAGTTCATATTCTTTACGTTAAGATTATCAAACTTTACCAAGCCACTATAATAACATAACAAAAACATAAGTCGTGGAGAAAACAGACGTGGTAATAGCACCCGGATGTGTGGTGCGATGAGTACGGTCAATTCCAAATGAACAATTTACAATGTGTGTTCATTCATTCAACGTATATATTAATAGTGTTTTTCAGAGCCCGAATGGTGCTGTTAGATTCCATGGCAAATGATAAAGGATATGACAAAATTATAAAACATTCATCAAATAAACTTTTGCATCTTCTTAATATTCTGAAAGAGTACAATCCAAAATATTATAATATGTCAGGAGGTAAGATAAATTCAGTGTATTTATAAATAAAACGTGCAGTGCTCTGAGTTTGAGTTAAATCATTATTATCATTTATTTAGCTTCCTTCCTTTAGCACCAAAAGCGATTAAAGTTATGGTTTATGTCGAATTTTTGTTAATAACACAAGCTTATTTTAACATTGACCGTGGAACGCGTTGCACTGTAACGGGTCCGGGCTAACTTCGATGTTGGTAATTAATGAAAAGGCGTACCAGGCTTGACAAGTATATTTACGGTAAAGATAAACCGTTTCTGGGTTTTCCTTAGTTTCATAAATACAGGAATTTCACTTTATTATTATATTTTATTTAATTGTCAATGATAAAACGTGTTATTGGAAGATTTTTTTACGAACTGACGTTCAAAATGAGCATCAATTGTTTTTCAAAAATTTCAAATCACGAAAAGCTAATATTAAAAAAAAGTTTGATTGCGGAAATCTAGGACAAAATAAACGGTGTGATACGGCGCACCCTTACAGCACCATTGTTTCTTTACATATTAAAACAATAACCATTGAAGCTTAGGCGATTGTAGTTAATAGCTAAAGTTGTGACGTCCTTTGCCAAATGCCAAATGATGCAACTCATTATTTGCTTTAACTACCGATACTTTAAGATATTTCTTATTGTTAGAGTAAGTTGATGCAACTAACCCTTTGAGTCTTTTGTTTTTTGCTTAAATCAGTATGAAGATGTTTCTAAACTGCAGTCGCGTAGTTCAGCTATTCTTTTATGTCAAAACAAGCCTCTGACTCGACGTTGAGCTCAGCGCTGTCACTCCATAGAACTTTTATGAAACAAAACCCTTATTACCTTTTCAAATAGGTTTTATATGATTACACCTCCACGAGCTCGTAGCTCGGTGGCGTAGTGGATAAGCGCCGCGGCCCGCGATCGTAGTCGTTAAGCAACTTTCGCAAGGGTCGGTCACGGGATGGGTGACCAAAATATTATTATCTTGAGCTACTCCGTGCTTCGGAAGGCACGTTAAGCCGTTGGTCCCGGCTGCATTTGCAGTCGTTAATACCCTCCAATCGACTACATATGCAATCGTCACCAACGGCTTAACGTGCCTTTTAAAGCACGGAGGAGCTCGAAATACTAAATTTTTGGTTACCCACTGTGACTGGCATTTGTTAGAGGTAAAATTTATATATGTTTTAGTGATTCTGAAAGCAAATAAACAAAGAAAACCCTTATCGGGTATTATATTTACTCAACGACGATTTACGGCTAAAGTGCTCTACAACATACTGAAGGAAGTGAGAGATGCTAACCCTGATGATTTTGGCTTTCTACAGCATGATTTTGTAGTCGGCTTTAACATCAACCCTATGAAAAGCACAAGAGAACAACATTATCTCAAAAAGTGTAGCCAGAAAGCCCTACTTAAATTTTCAAAAAGGTAAGTTTAATATTTTTATCTCAAAAAGAGTAGTCAGAATCTCTATTTAGTTTTCAAAGATGGAAGTTTTTTTTTATAAGTAATTGCTTTAGAATGTGTCCTAACTTAAGCAAATATTGTTAAAACAGACAATAATTTGAGTGACGTCAGAACTATTAATAGTGGGAATACTGTTATTATTAGCAATTAACAGTTCTTACAAAATTGTCGTGTATTGGTTAAAAATATATGACTATAGATACAACGCGTGTACATATATATGTTTGTATACTTATGTTAGGTGTTTTCCTAAGAAATTGCCGTTGTATGTAGGCAACTGACTACTACGTTTTCAGTGAAATTGTTGTGTTAACTTATAAAATGGTGCGATTTGTGATTGTCAGATGTTTGTTTACTACTTAACTCAAGTAAGAAAAAAATGGACTATACTACGTTTTTGTTTTAGGGAACTTAACTGCTTGATATCGACAAGTGTGATAGAAGAGGGTGTAGATGTCAGTCAGTGTTTGCTAGTAGTGCGTTACGATGCACCCTTGGAGTACAGATCCTATATCCAGAGTAAAGGTAAATAAGTTGGGAGAAGGTATTGTGTAGGTTATTGACATAATGACGATGGTTTACACGTAATTAAGTAGATAAGTAGTTAAGTAGTGCGTGTAGACATACAAATAAGTAATAATTTTGGTAACAACTTATGAGCTTAATTTGTAACAAAGTTATAAACTTACTTACAAATTCAGATTAATGTATTTTTTCTTATGTATAATAAACTATTCATTCATTATTGATTCATTAATTTAATTTAAAATTAGAATTTACTTATCTACATAATTACGTGTAAAGCAGCCATAATGGACTTTATAAATTGAGCGGTTTGACTTAAGTGGAAGGTCTTTGAGTATACATATAAGCGCTCTTTTAGGATAAGTTTTGTTATGAGATTTTTTCAATTGAAAATAAAGAATTCATACTTTGGGAGTTCACAATATTTTAAGACTCATTTTAAATTAATTATCGAATTAAATAGACCAATATTTTTTTGCAAATTTGTAATTTCTTGTTGAGTAATGTCATGTCCGTGTGTATTATCATAATGGAACCGAAAAACGTCTGGGCAATCTTTGTTATTTGTGAGTTTATGTTTGTAGCTGTTATAATGAAAGTTGTTACATTACATGCGACTAATTTATTGCTATATGCAGTGGCGTAGCGCGCCTTGGCGGGGCCGCGTATAAAATTTGTTTGAGGGCACTTATGAAGGGTAATGATTTCTCACAAAAGAAAATAAATTTAACTAAAATAATTAACATCGATTATTGTGGGATTCCCTTGTTGAAGTAAATGACTAAATGGAGAAATCATGGAGCCCGCGAAAACCGATGTAGGGTGTTGCCAACTTTGAAACGCACGCTTGACGCGGGAAAAAGAAACTGAGATAAAAAGAAATATGGGAAGTTTTTATTAATTTTTGCTTACGCACGTATAATTGATACGGCATATACGGCGGTAACTACGCCCCTGGCTATATGTATTTTAGAGAATTTTTGAAATACGTTTCCCTATCTTTTTCAAAGCGTCATATTTTACAAATCGATGTAATAAAATTTATTTTGTTTAATATTTATAAGTTAAAATGGTTCTGTTTTCCGAACATATAACAGAAATTTGAACTTTCACTTGCAAAAAATATCTCTATTGTGAAAGGCCTCTGTAGTTAATAGGTGATGAGGAATACATTTCTTGATCATCATCATCACCGCCTGATATCATCATCACATCACATCACATCACATCACTATTAATGTCCCTACCGCTGGTGGCCAGGTCTTCCCTGTGGACAGAATCTAATTAAATTGAATAAGAAGAAGGGACTTGACATACCACCCGGTCCCAGTAGGAAATGTTGGTCACTCGAGGTGCATCCGAGACCAAAGGCTTAGCGTGCCTTTGGTCACCCATCATATAACCCGCCTTTGCGAAAGTTACATAAAACCCGTATCGTAGGCCGAGCGCGCTAACGACTGCTCCATCGAGCTAATGGTATTTAATTAATAAATAAAAAGTATTATTACAGGACGAGCTCGAAGCAGTGAATCCAGTTTCATACTGTTAGTGAAAGAGGATGACCGATCAAAATTTTCAAATATTTATGCTACATACCAGAAGACAGAACAGTTTATACAAAAAGTAAGTATATAATACTTTATTTGTTTACTCAATTTACTTTATTGGTTTACTCAAACAAATATAAACAAATATTGGACTTGCCGAGCTAATAGTAATTATGGAAATGTTTATTATTTTAGATATTAATTGGAAACACTGATGAGAGAGACTCTCCAACCCAAGAAGACATTAAGGAAAATCTTTACGATGACGAAGATATACCTCCGTACGTTACTAAATGCGGAAGTATGTGTCTCGAATACTTAATATTTTGTTGAGACCAATTTTTAACACTTATTTGATCTTATATGTTTAACATTACAATGAAGCTAAAGCAGCTATGTCATGCCAGGGCTTGGAAACCGGTTAATTTTTTGAACCGGTTCGACGTAGGTACATGCGAAAATTTACATAAAAGGTTCAGCTCCTTTGAACAGGTTTTTAAACCGGATCACTAGAAATACGGTTTTCTTCATTAACCGGTTTAAATATGTCTCCAAACAATGATCTCACAAACTTCGGCGCGGTTTTTAAGTGCCTTTACTCCTATCTATGACATCCGTACACAGGTATAATAAATGTCGTCGCTTAAAAATCATATAATTCGCATTAAAAGCGTAAGAACATTGCTTTTTAAGTACCAAGCAAATTAACCGGTTTTTATTCCATCCGAATTTCACTCCGCATTTAGTTCCGATCCGGAACGGAACATTATAAGAGAACAGGTTTTACCTAAATAAAAACGGTTTATTCTGAACCGGTTTTAAGCCCTCATGCACGATAAAACGAAATTAGATTGCTAGTCAACAAAGTTCAAATAATGCATGTGTAGACAAATAAACATAAATAAATACATTTTTTGTGGTAGTGCTTAATATATTACCGATCGTCACACTTTTATACTTATAATATTTTACCGATAATCACACTTTTATGATTATAATATTGCATAAATTTATTATTATAAAACAAATATATTCCTTGTCACGTGAACACAAACAGCGTTGACGTCACACCCCACTTACTCATATCAGAACTGAGTGAATTTTAAAAATATATAAATTTATTTTTAGATTTTAATTTATTATAATTATTAATATTTTCCCGCGCACTATCCTTAAACGAAACAACTTTTATACCGTTTCATCACGTTTGTATTTTTCTTTTATTGACGTTTCGGACCCTTTATATATATTTCATGTATATCCATGAAATAAAAAAATATAAAAATAGTCTACACCCCTATTGTATTAAAATATTTAGGATTGCAATCGCACGTGAATTTTGTTTGTTCAAGCCGTCATAAATTAGTGTCATTGTCCTTAAACACGAATAGTCAAGTCGAATCCAATTCGTATCAAGCACAAATATAATATAAAATATTTGTATTGGACATCTCATTACATAGCCAGGCGCTATAAAAATAGCAATACAAACTATTTAAGTCTTTATCTAAACCTAACGAATTGGCCGCAATCTCATATTCAATGTTGCAAACCACTTCTAGACAGAATTCGAGGAAATCAAGCGAAATTAAACTTATTATCTAATGACAATAAATGTCTTTTTCGTAGATCGTCTATTTGCTGCTTCAGCTATTAGTCTTCTAAGTCGCTACTGTTCTACCCTGCCGCATGACCAATTTACAGTGATCACACCAATGTGGATACAGGAGAAGAACCGTGACGAGTCGAAACGCATAATTACAATCGTTATGCCCATTGCGTGTCCCGTCAAAGAAAAGATTATGGTAATAACCACATTGGCTTAGTTTTTCATTCTCACGGCTAACACACTTTTTTATATTGAACCATAAAAATAATAATTTAGCTCTGATATAGCGACTGACAGCGGTGGTGGTGTGTGTCATGCTTCTTAAATTTTTTTTTGTGTGAGCTTGAATTACGTCGCGTTAAACTAAAGCAGATACTACAGTTTACTCTGGCTTTCATTTTAATACGTTTTAATCATTTGAACCATAAATCAGGTTGAGTTTAATAGAATTTTACGGATGATTTGAGCTTGAGTATGATTTATGAATTGTGTAAGAATAAAATAAAGAAACCTTTTTGGCTTTCTTGTTTAAAACTTGGATCTTCCAAGTTACAGATTACAATTCACTATGTTATTATATAATTTCTTTCACAGTGTCTCATTCTTAATTTCATATTAAAATTAATATGATTTAATACGATAATATGTTGCTTTACATGTTATTCACAGATGATTTTTTTTTACGAACTGACATCCATAAAGAGTATATTTGATTAGTCAACTTTTTAAATTACAAAAGGTGAATAATAAAAAGAAATGATGTTGAATTTCAAAGATAAAAAGTTTGCATGTTGAAACCTAGGAAAATAAACGGTGGTACGGCACACTGTTACACTCGTTTAAATATTATTTCTAATAGTTCGATTAGAAAAAGTTGATAAATGTACAATTAATTGCACGTTACCACAGAATATGAAACAAGAAAAAATTGATTGGAGTAAATCTTCGTCAATCGATTTTAAGCGTTAAGTTCTATTATTGTTTCCAGGTTTTTGCAATCAGTTAATAACCATACAGGCTGTTTTCCCGCGACTTTGCACACGTAAATGATAGCCTTTGTTAACCCCGTATGATGTAGCTATCCGTATACGTATCCGTAAGCGATTTTTTTTTTAAATCGGTCCATTTATTTCGGAGCCTGTTCGATGCAAACATACAAACAATCAAATCTCTCCTCTTATAATATTATAACCTTACTAGAAAAAAGAAAATCTAACTTAACTTGAACCTATGAGAGTTTATAATTTGCCCTCCCTGATTATAAACTGACGATATTTACAATTTTATGGTGACGTATAATTTAAACTTTGAAGCTTTATTGATTCATAAATAATATTTTAGGGGCTACCATTTATCGCCCTAAAGACAGCTAAGCGTTCCGCTGCCTTGAATGCATGTATAAGACTTTATCAAGAAGGGGAATTAGATCAAGTAACTCTACTCCCTCGACATTACGGGTGAGAAATTTATTGAATTTCCTTTCTGTAGTTTTAGTTATTTTATTTTTTAATTAAAATTAGTATCTTATTTTCACTATAAACTTTTAGAGTGGCCCGTAACAGTCATCTCGACAAAATATTCTGTGAATATAAAAATATTAATATGTAAATTTATAAGGCTATTTAAATACCATTTTTTTTATGTCAAACAGTTGAAATAGAACGTTACCAAAATTTCATAATCGTTGCTTGGCGGATTTTATGTTTTATAATATACATGGGTAACTTCAGATTTATTAACTCAGTCATTTGGTTTCTGGCTCATTAAATAATATGGCAACTACTAATATACTATCAAATATCATATGTTCCGAATTTCGACAAAGATAATTACAACTCTTCAATAACTTTTTCCTAAATCATAAGTATTCATAAACTTACATATTTTAAATATTACATTCATTATTTAGTAACAACAGCGCAACCTTACAACTATATGAAGTAGGACTATTTATTTGCCAATAGTAATTATGAAATATGTTGAAAACCCTTCGATGAAGGATTTATTAGATTAATTCTGTCTGTTAAGACTTCAGTACGCTCGACCCCTAGTTTGAGACTATATACTCTACTTTATTGCATTAGTCCATTAATCTCCCCACTGCTGGGACACGGCCTTCCCTATGGATGGAAACGTTTAGCGTATTTCAACTTTTATCGCGCGGTGTTTGGTTAAGGTATACCTAATTATTAATTACTCGTATAATTTAAATTTAAAAATAGATAATTTTGTTTACAGCATAGTTGATTATGAAGATTCTGATATAAAACAATGTTTTCCCAATTGGCGTTGGGATGAGCAAGATGAAGGCGAAAAGGCTCCTAAACCTGGTACAAAGAAAATGGTGCGCAAACACGAAAAAATAGTAAGTATCAGTAAATAATTATTGTAGTATGTGTATAATATTATATAATATAATATAATATGATATGATATGATATGATATGATATGATATGATATGATATGATATGATATGATATGATATGATATGATATGATATATTTATACACCGAGAGGTGAATAGTATGATAATGACTGTGTGCGTGTGAGAGGGTGAATAACTTGTGTACTGAATTATAAAAGTACTTTAAATTCCAAGCAATATAAACAAATTTACAGTGAGACAAAGTTACTATTATACTTATCAGTTCCGGAGGGTGAAAATTTTGTTCATCTTGTTCACTGAGTATATTACCGCCGGCCAGTTTAATCAGGTCAGACATTTAGAGGGTTATTTATCAGATAATCACGTTCTTGGTTTATACGGCATAAATTATGCCCCTGTTTAGAAACCGCAAAATATGTACGACTCGACAGATAGTTAGAGTTATATTCCAATAAAGAAAGTATTTTTAAAGTTATATTAAGTAAGTAAATTAGGCGCACATACATTACATCACAGTATTCGTATAGAAGCTTTGTTATATTATTAGCGTTATTACAACGAGACTTTTAAAGTTTGGAAAACTTTGGAATAAGAAAAGAGATGCACTTAATAGATTTATTGTCAGTTTTTCAGAAATATTTTGACATATAAGTATACAGGTAACATAAAAAATGTATGTTGACCAAAAAAATTTTTATTTTTTAATATACGTTTTAATTTGGCGCCAAAACGACTATGCGTTAATGACGTCAATCCTTTGTATACTTATTTTAACAGCAATTGCGGTTTAATGGCATGTTAATAAACATGACTTTAGTTTCTGATTGACATTTTTTAGGACCGATCACGTTGGAAATCTTTGGAGGAGGCCTATGCCCAGCAGTGGGCGTCTCTCGGTTGATATATGATGATGACATTTTTTTAGACTTTCACGATTTAATTTCTTTATAAGTTATAGTTAACAAGTTACAAGCTTTGACAACGACACACGGATAGTTGATACATTCGTATGGTATATACAATTAAGATATTTTATCGAAGTCACGTGACACGCAAAAATAATCAAAAATAATAGCTGAATTTTGAAAAAATATACGTAATCACAGCTTTATTATTAAAAAAAACTAATGTAGGAGTAATAAATAATATATATTTTAAATTAATATGAGTTTCATATTTTATATTGATCAAATATCAAAAACCCTATTATGACGTCACAGTTTGACGAGTATCATATATATAGAATCGCATGGGAGGGACGGCAACAAAGTATTCTTCAACACGCTTTTCGTTACTTCTCTTTAGAATTAATAATTGTTAATGTATTGTTAATTTAATTTATCAAAGTTATTTCCTTTATTATTACTTTATTATTATTTTAGTTCCCGTCATGTCTCAAATCAAGCAAAGAGTGGTTTGTGGGTCGAAAAACTTTTTTCCTACACATTATAAAGATGAAAACTGCATTCGACGAACCCAAAGATACCCGTGAGAGGGCGCTGTACAACTTACTCCAGAGAGGCGAAGGATATGGCCTGTTGACTCCATCTAATTTACCGAAATTATGTGACTTCCCTATGTTCTTAACAGTCGGTGAAGTTGCTACCTCTCTAGAAGTGAATTATGCTGTTATACAATTGGATTTGATGTTATTTGATTTAGTGAAACAGTAAGTTTAACCAAAATATACATATAAAGCGAAATAACGGTTTCAGTAAATTATTCCATGCTAAGTAAACTAAGCACTTTGTTTTTAGGGTTCCGTAACAAAAACGCAAAAATTGAACCATTATCACGCGGTTGTCTCTTAGTCCATTTGTCATAGCCGAGTTTCTCCGAAAGTACTGGACTGTTTAAAAAGAAATTAAGTACACATATGTAAGGAGCTGGATGGCGCAGTAGCAAGCATGCCCGGTCTGCGATACGGTTATTAACAACTTTCGCAATGGTCGGTCATAGGCTGGGTGACCAAATTTTTTTATCTCTGGCTTTTTCGTGCTTTGAAAACCACATAAGTCGTTGGTCCCGGCTACAACTGCACTCGTTATTACATACCCAGTAATCTACACTGGGCCCGTGGAGGGTCATGACCCATTCTCTTAGATTTTATTCCGGTTCCATGCATAGGGAAGCCCTGAGACCCAGCAATGATGACACGTATTTGTGAACTGTAAATAAATTAATACCTATATTTTAGTTTGATTAATAAGAGGAAATTGTTATTGAGAAGAAAGTAGGGGTGTAGACGACTTCATTATGATTTTATTTTATAGCTATACATGAAATATATCTAAAACATATACATTAAAAAGTATAATTTATACAAACCTTAAAATCTAAAAATTTCCCACCAGAAGGTAATCTTAGGGGCGTCCATAAATTACGTGAGGTGTTTTTTGAAAATTTTTCTGTCCCTCCCCTCCCCTCCCCTCCCCTGGTGAGATGCCGTGAGATTTTATTCAACCCCCTCCCCCAACCCCAATCTCACGTGAGATTTTTCTAAATGTGGGTTTCTTACGTAAACACGTCGGAATGTTCTTGTAAAAAAAAAAAGAAAAATTGCTTCGTGCTTTTATTTACGACTAACTTTAAGTTGAACGCCAAATGCAACGCCTATATTATATAGTATATACTTTTTGGCAAGAATACTCGATACCAGCAATTTCATGAGTACTTGCGAGTATTAACCTTGTTGTAGTATCGAGTAACACTTGAAAAAATCGATACCTACTCGTTAGCTAAAGTATCGTTCGAACCCTACAAATATGGTGGTTTGACATTCAGTAGATGTATAACGTCGAAGTATGAAGGAAATTATTTTCTTTCGAACGAATTAGTGAATGATCTTAATCGTATACGTTTACGCTTAAGATTAAATCTTAAGCATGTACAATCTGGATTAAATGGACCAAAATAGTATTTTTTCTTTGTTTCAATCACCCTATTATGTCACATTTTGACTATGACGTCACGCCCCTCTAAAACAAATTTATTTATCTTAAGTGTAGAAGATCGTTACGTCACGCACTGTTTGCTATTATTTGGTTTATTAAAATATTTGGTTTTTCATAATTAATTTGTGCAATATTATAAATACAATAATCATAAATGTGTGATTATCGCTAATAGTATATTAAACACCATCAGGAAAAAATTATGTATTTATTTTCGTTTACTGTCTACATCCGTGTTCTCCATAAAGTTTTATATAGTTAAAAATTCATGATTATTACAAATATTTTAATATAATATTATTTCATATATTTTATTATTCTTTCAGATTTCACTACTTCTTATTTGGTCAAGTGCTGGATATAGTGAAAAAGTTTTTAGTATACGATGGCGTAGATAACAATATGTTTGTCGTTCCCATAAAAGAGGATAATGGATATGACATAGACTGGGACGTTATGCAGCAATATAAATATATACGACCAGTAGAAGTTCCTTCATATGAGGTAACAATTTAGTTCTATTCATTTTAACAAAGATGACACCTTCCTATATTTAACAGACTTCGAAAAATAAGAGGTTCTAAGTTTAACATATTATGTTTGTGTGCGATTATCTTGCGTTTGGCTGAACCGATTTTGATGCGGTTTTCAGCATAGTATTTGTCAGACTTAGCAAAAGGTTTAATTAAACTACAAAAAATGGAGGTTCGCACTTTAACACGGTTTTGACGGATGGTTTCCAGAAAAATATTTTTAGTATATATCAATTATAAAAAAAAATAATATCACTAAAAAGCATGGAATGAAAACCTAAAAAATAGAACCGACTTCAAACTTAAAAAAGTGTAAAATAGGCAATTAAAAAAGCGCCTATCATTTTATTAATAACCTACAGAAAGCCTCCGTCCGACTTTATAAGCATTTTCTTGAGTAAGTCACTTTCGAGATATGTATAATTTTTTACTTTTTGAAAGTGTAAAGTCCGTTCTATTTTTCTTTTTAGTTCTTTTACCTTGTTTCTGGACTAGATAAGAGTTTAAGAGACAACAGTTTACCTAGACTTATGCTTTCATAATATATATTTTACATAGTTGAGTACCCATACTGTATGTGCAATACGTTTGAGGTATACTGACTCTTACCTTGAGAGATTTTTAGGGCGTTTACTTCAATTTTAATAAAATTAAAACGAAATCCTTCAGGGGTTAGTTAAAAACGATGAAATTGTAGCTGTTGACTGACCCCTGATAAGAAAAAATATTCAAAGAGACAACTAGTATCATGAAACTAACCTTACTATAACTGTGGAGCTTGATGATGCTTTTGGTATACTTTTTAAATTGCTGTTTTGAAATAATCAGTACCATGCTATGCTATGCTTAGTTCTTTTAATCTCTTTGTATAGATAGGATTATTCAAAAGGGAGGTTTTTATGTATTATACAGAATAAGGCGCGCGAAGCCGCTGGCGGAAAGCTTGTAATTTCAAAATATCAAAAATACTATCAATTTAAACATTATATATTCTAATTAATATGTAATTGTTACTGTTGGCACCATATATCATATTTATCGTACATTGAAAATCCCTTGGGATCCCATCTTCAGACCTTATGGACTCAATGTCAACGGAAATGAGTTTGTCAAGAAATTAGCTCAGATTACTTTTAGTATACACGCAAAAATAATATCATCAAGTTAAAATAGGCACTAACAACTATTATCAGTTTTGTTTTGGGTAGATTTCATGCCAATATAAAGTTCAATTAATTTGAATTTGATTTTTATAGGAAAGAAAAAATCTGCGTGTTACGAAAGACGATTATATTAACTCTGTCGTGACACCTTGGTACAGGGGGTGTCTTCTCACAGACAGGTAAATCTAAAACATAAATATATGATTGCAATTTCACGCGTACACACTTAATTGAGTTTTTAGTTTGATGTTTTTAATTCACATGCTATTCTTATACAAATGATGAACTATAGTGGAAGGCCCTATGGATTGAAAAAGTCTTGTAATGATTTTTTTTTGCAGATACATCGTGTCAGATGTTATTGAGTATATGACTCCACAAACACGGTTTGACTCTCATTCTTACGATACGTACGAAGATTACTATGTTAGTAAATATAATTTAGAAATCTTCGGACAGAAAGACCAACCTTTGCTTGAGGTAATATTTTATATTAATTTCGAAGTCAGTTCATATCTTCGCATTACAATCCGTTATATTTAATGTTTTTTATTCCACATAGGTTCGCAATATAAGTAGTCGTATGAACTGCTTGTTGCCTCGTGCCGCGACTATAAAAGCGTTATCTGAAAAACATCAAAAGTTAATATCAGCTACCCAAGGCGACGACAAGCCGAAAGCTTTCGTGGAGATGTTCATACCTGAATTTTGTATCAAATACGATTACCCCGGTGTGCTATGGTATAAAGCCATTATGCTGCCTAGCATCATTCATAGGTAATACATTCATAAATCCGGTTCGAAGGACCATATTTTTCAGAATTGTTTATTTCGTTAATTTTTTTTGTATTAGAAATAATATACTTTTATTATTAATTAAGATAAGATTGTATTGTTGGCATACTAAATCCGAAAGAACACTAGTGTTTTCAATTTTTTTCATTTCAAAGATACTGTCTATAATCACTCTTCATATATTATCTGACTAGAAACGCTTAAATGTCTTATTTACCCTTTAAAGACAGCAGTTTTCGTTTCAGAGTTTTTAATCTACTCATCGCTCATGAGTTGCGTGAAGAAATCACAAATGAGATTCAGTATGGGAAGGCTTTCTTAGACGCAGGTATTTTTTGTTTTATCTTAAAGCCAGTTTTCACAGTAACGATGATATTTATTTATTAAGTCAATCATGATCAGCCCTATTGCGTCCCCACTGCAGGGGCTCAGACCTTCCATGGTTCGGAAGGATGGGCCTTAACTCTCCACGCTGGCCCAATGCGGATTGGAGTGTATTAACGACTGCAAATTTAGTCCCGGTTGCATTAAACAAATACTAGTTCGACTTTATATAAACGGTTGAATTGGCGCCTGCAAATGTCGTTTACGCAGCCGCTAAGTATTCTCTAAATGGCATAACAAAGCAGTGTCAGGGTTACCTCCATTATGAGCAGGTATTTAAATAAAAACGCTACGCACTGGCTGTGAATGTTGTGCTCCGTGTTCGTAAATACAAAGTAAAGTATTTGAATAATGGCGGCATTCGTTACTTCCGTAACAAAGATTACTGCAAAGATAAGTTCTCAAATCTCCTTGTCATACCCCCGATAAGTTTGTCAATTTTGTGCTAATAATGGAGCAAAAGCTGCAAGCGTCGTTTAAAATGAAATTCATAAATACTAATATATTAAATACAATTTTCGTACAATCAAAGGACACAAACATGTCTATGTTTTCATCTACAAATTTCCCAAAACTATATTTAATAGAACTATTTATTTTCATGTGGTTTAACTACTCGTACTTAGCCAAATATAATAACAAATGTTTTTAAATTATTATTAAATTAACATCATGTTTTATTCTTAATCCAAAACCTGAATAATATTTTAGGTACTAATCCGTAGGCTCTGTTCAACTGTGGGTATAAATTTTAAGAACACGCCCGAGTTGCGTTACTGTTGTTGAAATCTATTGTGCTTAACGTGCCTTCTGATTCACGGAGTAGCTCGATTTAATAATTTTGGTCATCCATCCCGTGACCGACCCTTGCGACAGTTGCTTAACAACAACGATCGCGGCCGCTTATCCCCTACGCTACCGAGCTACTCATCAGTTATTTAGTTACAAAAATCTAACTTACATACTAATAAGATCCAACACACCAGCAAGTTAAATACATAGACAATAGTTAGACAATAGGTTAACTTCTAAATAATAACGAACATTTAATATTCTGTTACAGGGGAAGAATGGTTACCTATAAAAGTGGACATACACATTGCAACGAAATCGCTTTTATCACAAGTTGAAGAGCCGACACCAATTAATACCATTGATAGGTAACTAAGTCTTATACCGTTCTAATTACACAAGATCTTACGAAACGAACGTAAGGAGTAGTTTACATGTTTTTTATTCTGTTATTATGGGCAAGTCTTGCTATTTTCTGTCGTCATTTGGCTTTATATTATACTGGTACTATTCTATTGGAGACAGATAAAACGGATGTCTGGCTAAGATGCGATGCGTCTTAATTACTTTATAAAAGAAACCGGATAACCAGTAACCAGTAAGTCACCGAACAAATGTTTTACATTACAAATTGCAAGTAAATTTTGCAAAAATAAAATATACTTACTATTTTAAACAAAGAATACTACAAAGTTATAATTGTTATTGTTTACATATAAGTTTATTTCCAACGTATTTCAAAATTTATTTTACAACTATCAATTAATAGCCAATTAGTGGTCGCAAAATCTTACGACTTTGAAAATTCTAATAGCGTATTAAAAGAACAAAGCTAAATCAGTAATTTCAAACTGGATAAGACATTAAATAAATGAAGTATTAAATAGGAAATATCTTTATTTAAATCACCTAACAAATGTGACACATTACAAATTGCAAGTAAATTTTGCAAAAATAAAATATACTTACTATTTTAAACAAAGAATACTACAAAGTTATAATTGTTATTGTTTACATATAAGTTTATTTCCAACGTATTTCAAAATTTATTTTACAACTATCAATTAATAGCCAATTAGTGGTCGCAAAATCTTACGACTTTGAAAATTCTAATATCGTAATAAAAGAACAAAGCTAAATCAGTAATTTCAAAATAATTCGAATTATAGAAAGTGCAATCCACGAAGACGCGCCCCACTATTCCTCCTAACCGTTTATAGTATATGTGTGCTATCTTTTGTCAATGTTTGAATGTTATCGGTAAACACTAATTACCTATGAGTGCACACGCACACTATAATTAATAGACTAATCAGGAGAGAGCGTCCTGGTCAAAGTGAAAGATGCTCTACTTTAATTTTATATTTTCTACTCGAATGAAAGGAAAGTAGAAAAAATGAAAGGTTATGGTTTTTTTGTTTTTTGGTGTGGGTGTTTTATGTGATTATTAGTAAATATAGGATAAATTTACCATTTTTATAATGGGGGTAATTATAGACATAAATGAAATGCGTGAGAAAGTTTTATTGAACTTTATTGAGTAAAGAAAATCATTAATCACTCGTTTCAGAAATATCTGATTCAGAGTCTGATGTATCACGGACATTTATAATAAAATTAAAATCAATATCAAAGTGTCTCATGTATTCATCTTCTATTTTTTCCACGTGCTGACAAGTATTGAACCAGACATCTTTATTTACTCGATCAAATGCTTCATTTATAATGGGCATAATCGAAGTGTAGTTTTGATTGATATTGCGGCTAGCAACGTCGTTTTTTACAATACCCCAAATGTTTTCGATTGGGTTTAACTCTGGAGGATAAGGAGGCAGCCGAAGCACTGTGAATCCATGTTCTTTCAATAATTCGTCAACTTTGTACTTGCGGAAGTTTTCTTTGTTTTTTAATATAAGCTCATAATGTTCAGGTTTTTTGTAGCTTGTTTCAAAATGGATATTTTTTGCATTCAGCCAAGTCTGCATGTCTAATTTGTTGGAGTTGGATGTTGGTATTTTTTCCGAACTAGAATTGTGATAGGCTGCATTATCCAAGACTACCACGGCATCATTTGGGAGATTCGGTATTAGTTTCTCTTTTAGCCATTTTAAGTAATTTTCCGTGTTCATATTATCATGGTAGTCTCCGGATTTGATCTCTGCTTTGTATGTCAACAACGCATTTGGTACGAAACCCTCTGCACTTCCGCCATGTACTATAATTATACGCACTCCTTTTGTTAAATTTTGTTTGATTGCTGTTTTAGAACCTTCTTCGGCCCAAGATTTTTTTTGCACGTGGTTGGTATGAATATATGATTTATCTGTGTAGACTATATGTCTACCTGTATTACGAAACGACTTTACCTGTTTTAAATATTTCAATCTTAACATTTGGATATCATGTTTTTCGGTTAGCACCTTCCTGTTATTCTCAGTTTTTCTCCATTTATAACCAAGTTTAAGTAACAGTGTTCTTAGGGTTGTTATACATCCATTAAATTGTATACGGTCTTTTAAAACAATATTAAGTCGTGATAATGTTGGAAATTGACGATGTTCTATATGATAGTTTTGGATAGTTCTTCGGACTACACCAATATCGAATTCGTCTAAATTTATTTTTCGTGGTCTTATCCTTCTCTTCTTCATAGGTGATGTAAAAATAGAAGCACTTCTGCCTACTAAATAAGAATGTGACGGATTCGTTTCATTTTCAGTCTCTATATCCGCTTCCTTAGTCGGTTCTGCTGTATGCTCCGCACTTGAGACTGTAGGAACTATCGCACCCGTCTCCATAGTTATATTCGATTCCATAGCAGATACTGTAGTTTCCCTCATTGTGCTAGTATATTCCTTCCTTTCGCGTAGAATTCTAGTCACTGTGCTTTCAGATACTCCAACAGCCTGTGCGGTTCTCCATCGTGCATCACTGATTTTTTTCTGCATAATTTTTACTTGCTTCTTTTTTCATAAAATCATAAACTTTAGAAATAATTTCTCGTGCCTAAAATTAAAAAGTAAACATTAAATAGTTTTTCTTACTTTTAAAGATGAAATAAAGTCAAAGTAAAATTTGCTATTTTTAAAATTAAATTACTTTGCTTATTTCATGTGTTTTTAGTAACTATAAACTTCTAAACAATAATTTTGCATACCTGGCTTTTAAGTACAACACGCTGAGATTTTCTCGACATTTAAAAAAAATATAAAGTAGAGCAACTTTCGTGACGAGTCTGGATTTTCGCAACAGAGAACACAATATAATCGTGTGCATCGAACCGCCGACGGTTCGTGACTGATGCTCGGAACAAACTCCCCGCACCCCGCGAGCCCTTCAACCAAAAATAGGTGGGGCGATTAAAAGACGACGAAGATAATTAAAAGACGATTCTATACATACGCACTTTATAAACGCATATACATAAAATAAAATAAAAACTCATAATACCGCTATTTTTTTTTATTCATAACACTAGTCTATGGTTTTAGGCTGAATATCAAAAAAGGCGCACGCAAGCGCAGTTCTAATTGTGAATAAAATGGCGCACGCATAAATTGCTTCCTTGTAACCTACCTACTTAGTTTCATTTAATTTTTTTCCTATGAGTGAATATAAAGTAGTGTATGAAACTGCATATAACTTAGGTATTAAAACACTCGAGTCAACCTATTATCGTGAAATAAACAAACTCTCGTGTTTTAATACCCCTTCTTATAGGGCAGTTGCATAAACTACTATTTTTTTTACTATAATAGAATAAATAATCCCATTGACGACACCGCGCCGCGCCCCCTCAACATAGTCTCGATGAAGGAAACCATCTATCAACTGCAATTTAAGAAAATCAGTAAAGAGTATCCATGGGATGTAAGTCTTGTTATTTTTTTTTTAAATATCGATGTTACGTTTATTTCTTAAAAAATATAAAGAAATTTCATAACAGTTAAATGTACATTAATATTATAAAGAGGTAAATTTTGATTGTTTGTTTACAACGAATAGGCTCCGAAACTACTGGACCAATTTAAAAATGGTTTAACAAACAAGGGTTTGGTGTTTTTCTATAAAATGGTTTAACATCTGATAAGTACTTTATTTCCTTTAACTTCATATAATTTTATTAACGCCTTTGGCTTTGCCCGGAACGAATATAATTAAAATGACAAATTGAATAGTAAACAATGGTTACTTTGGTTACGTCTTAATTCCCTGTTTTTCGAGATAAAATATAGTCTATATTCACCGCATATGAGCTTCCCGTAGGTAAAAGAATTTTTAAAACCGGTCCAGTAGTTTCGAACTCTATTCGATGCAAACAAACACATAAACAATCAAATCTTTCTTTAGTATAGAAAAATCTCTGAGGTTCCGGGTTCGATTCTCGGTCGGGTATATGTAGAAAAGGTCTTTTCTATATTGTCGGGTTTGTACCGTAGTTGTCGCAGATACTCCATAATTGACCAGCCCCATTATGGGGTTGGTACGCAGGGGAGAGTCCCACATAACCCGTGGAGCTCGCGCAGGGTGAAGCGGGTCTGCGGAACGCATTTCTCAACCTTAAAAATACTAAAAGATCCTCCATAATACGGGGGCTTAAGCTTCTCATCTTGGAATCTGAGCAAAGTATGTGATGTTGTTCAATATTTATTATTGATATTGTTTTATTTCATAGGAAAACATAGAACCCGTAGACATAGAGAGAAATCTATCATCAGTGACGGTTGTGGATATAGAATGCTACGACAAATTCGTATCAGCTCCGTTCGATGATAAGGAGCCAACTGAAGTAAGATCTCCGCCACTGAGACCGACCACCTCGGCAGCCATATTGCCACCACCAACGAAGTAAGTATGAAGAACTAATAATAAAGTAGTAGAACTTATAATAAAGGCTAGACGATTAGATGGGCGACATTATTTCTAGTGTTAATCCATGATTTAGAAGACACGTTAAGCTGTTTATTCCATCTACATATGTAGTCGTTAATACCCACCGAATCCTCATGAGGATTCATGAGGCCCCCATGGTTATGACTTTTTCTCCTATACGATCCTATCCACGGATGACTTGTATCTAGAGTGTGTGGAAGTAAATAATTATTGAAATGTACAAAGCAATGATCGTTAGGAATATCAAATTAAAAGTATTGATGTCTTTTGTGGAAAAACGGCCAAATGGGAAACGCACGCGCGAAGGGTCCCGTGGCACCCATAAAAAAAAAGCGTGCTTGTTGTATGTGAGCCCCCTTAAATGTTTGTTTTATTCTGTTTTGTAGTAGTTGTTGTTATAGCGACAACAGAACTATATCACCTGTGAAAATCTTAACTGTCACACTATCACTGTTCATGAGATAGAAACCCAGTTGCACAAACATACATTGAAATTGTCATTAGTTTAAAGTGACATTGTCAACACAAATTTTCCAATTTAGACCATTCATTAGAGCTTTAAGTCTTTATTGGACGTTTTTGCATCTTGGTGACAGACGGACAGACAAACAGACAGATGGACACCATAGTCTGAGTAGCAGGGTGCTGTTTTATTCTTTAGGTATTTCTCTTTGTCTTTGCAAATGACCCAAATAGCTCATTTTTTCATTGCTGTAATCATTTTACATATATGTACCAGCTAGTTTGATGTATATTTAATACTAGCTTTCCGCTAGCGGCTTCACCCGCATGGTCCGCTGGTTTTACTCATAGATCTAAACTCCCCTCCCGCACACGCACCCCCGCCTTGGTGAAGCTCACTTCGCAACGGGCCGTGCAGCAGAAATCGTAATATTTTAATTTCGCCATAACTTCAAAACCAAACTTCCAATTTTAATCATTCAAAGACCAAATATTATCTTCGTAAACTGTACTTAGTGATCAAATAATTTATTTTGATAAGGATTAATAGAACGAGTAAAATAAACGCGTTTAAATGTGGTCCAAGAAAAATACGAGTTTTTAATAAAAAAATTGTTGTTGTATCTCACTCGACATAGATAGGTATAGTGTGTCGCGGAGTTTTTTTTGTAGATATTTATAAGATCTACAATTAATTGGAACATTTTATAGTTCTATCTTTTATAGTTTAGGCAGCGTACGCAAAATAAGTAACTTTTCCGATTGATTTTTTACATCTTGTATCCGAAAAACCCAAATATCTTACGGAACCCTATATTTTTTCAAAATAAAATATAGCCTATGTTACTAGTGGATAATGTAGCTTTCGTAATAATGACGTAATTTAATGGTTTACTGTTTGTTCTATGATAGGTACAACGATAAAGTCAAACTCTTGACGAGAGTTCCTAAAGGCCGCGGTCCCGAATTACGGGATATCCTCAGTGCCTTAACAACGATAAATTCCCGCGACACGTTCAATTTAGAAAGGAGCGAAACTCTTGGTGATTCGTTCTTGAAGTTTGCGGCGAGTTTGTATCTATTCCACAAGTTCCCTAAGTTGAATGAAGGCCAGTTAACGAACATCAAGTGCAAGCTTATTGGGAATAGGTAAGTTATTTCTGTTTTATTGAAATGTAAACAGAAAACTGACTCTTTCGCACGTACTTAAAACAGTACATCACTATTAATAGCCAAACGATTTTGAATTTAATTTTTAAATATGAAGGCTTGAAATATATTGAAATATTTGACGTGCAGAAGTTACCGACGTAACGTAGACTGTCTAGTATTATCTATTGTTTGTAGCTAAATTTATATATTTAGTCACTTTTTTATATTAGAGAGATACAGAAGATTTCATTTTTTATATTGAAGATTTAACAAGAATATGCAATACTATTTGTAGGTTGGGGAAAAGTCTCTTCGCATATAGAATGTATAAACTTATAAATTTGACTATACCGTTTGTATCTGGCTGGCTTCGGTATCAATAAAAAGTTTTAATTTTAAAGCAGATAACTCCGAATTCAAATTAGGAAAATGTGTGATTTTCATTTGTTTTTCTTACTGTCAAAATGAGTGAATATAATGGAGAAATTCAATACATTTTTAAATTTTATTACAAAAAAGGTAAAAATGCAACGCAAGCCGCGAAAAGATATTTATGATATTTATGGACCTACATTTGGGTCATTATAATAAGCCACATTTGACATATCTCAGATTTAACTTCAAAGTAACTTTAATGTAGTAATCATATTATAATTTTTATTTTCCAAGTTTATTTAAATATATTAATTGTTATAATACTCGAATATAACTAAAGCAATTTTACGTTGAACCATATTACTATTTAACAGAAATCTATACTACGCCGGCAATCGCGCTCGCTTAGGTGGACGAATGAAAATAGATGTGTTCAGTCCAAGGAAAGACTTCCTCGTGCCGGGCTTTTCCGCACCAGAAGAAGCTCAAGAATTAATTAACGGGAAGAAGGTATGTGCGATTTTAATTTTCAATTTGGTATAAAATCAGGAATCACGTCATACTGGAATTAGTGTTAAACTTATGTCTTGTATTAGAGATATTGGTTCTCGATATTTGTAACACTGTTCTAATCGAACGTAGAGTTGAATCTGATTCAACTTAAATGTAGCCTTAATAAAATATACTGTAGTTGTGGCTACTTTTAAGGTTCCGTATTAAAAAGGAACCGTTATAGTTTAGCCATGTCCGTATATCCGTCCGTCCGCGATTAGCTCCAAAACTTTTAGTACTAAAAAGTTGTAATGGACATACGTTAATTACGGCGACAAAGCGGTAAAATAAAAATTCGAACAAAAAAAATTTTTGTGTACCACCTCTACATGTAAAGGGAGGATGATATTTTTTTCGTTTTCCCCATAGAGTGGGCCATCGTTGGATAGATCTTTTAAAAACAATGACGGTGTTTGAAGCCTGTTTTTCGATTTAATAAACCGTTTGTGACTTATTAAGCTTTAAAGAGCTAATTTTCGTTAGAGTCAAGTGTAAAGGTCAAGTTGACCCACTACCAACTAAATGGTCGCTGGAAAAAATCAAACGTTACTGCATTGGTACCTATATATAACGAAGTTAAAATGAATGTTTAAAAAGAATGTTTGATTTGTCAAGCCACTTACCTTATTAGATAACGGATGAACTAAATATACCTCATAACCTATATTGAATTGTTAGAATTATAGTTTTATTACGAGATTGCTACCATATACCTTTTTTTATTTTATTGTTTTCTTAATATTTCAGCGCTGTTACAAGCAACTCAATAAAAACGGTACATGGTAGCAATTCCATAAAAAACTATCATTCTAATGTAATTGACCATGGGGTGGATTGTATCTTAATAATACAAATAAAGTAAAATTAATTATAAAAATATGTGCTTTATTTATAATTACTTTTTAAACTTTATGACTCAAATAAACCCTTACTTCAATATTTAAATTTAATATTTTCTCATTACAAATTAAAGGTCATCAAATAAAAAAAATCTATAAAAAGACCTCAGAAATCATAATACTTCATCACAACATTGCCAGATCATGTTATTATTGGTTTTCAAATTGAAAACTATTCATATAATATCATTACACTCAATTTTGTTCATCTAACCCAAAACATCTTATGTGATTTAATTAAATTTAAATGTCATGGTTTGTATTGCCGGATTGTTAGTATAACTTAAAAGGTAAATATTTGTTAATCGCATTGATTATGTTTGATTAACTGGGGCGTTAATTAATCAAACACTTAACTATTATATCAAATAATTTTTCTAAAAAGAAACATTGTTCAAGATGAATTATTATAATTTTTGATTTGAACACTTGTGAACTTAATACTAAAAGAAATTGCCTCATTTGCTTTGTTCGAATAATTTATAATATATTAATGGTACTTGTACACAAAGTGTTAACTTGTTTATGTTAAGACGCAAGTTCTATGCATAATTAGAACCAGCACGTAAATTAGAGATTGCAATCCTAATACCGGAACCGGCATCAATTTACACATAACGGACCCAGTACCAATTTACCAGATTGTATATTTTGTCAAAATTATCTATAATAATATTGTTCTATCTCTTATTGGGATTTGTCTGTAAAATCAATTGTGTTTTTTATTTAAATTTTATTTTGACATTTACATTTAAACTTTCAATTTGTGATTTTATATTCGAGAAATTTTTTCAAGTTTTATCTTTTCGTATACTGATTGGTACCGTTTTTTACACTTTATTTTCGAACCAAGATGGAACGAGAAAAGAAAAATGTACTGGTTAGGTCACTGGATTGCAATCCCTAATGAAAATCACATTAAATGCGCCAATGCGAGTAGATCGCCCCCTTTACTTCTCACAGCTATTTGCAAAGTATACAAGAACCATTACTATATACTAAACAAAAAATATCACAAATTACGACACTCGCATTGAATCGAGTTTGATTCTAACATCATATGTTAGTTTTGAGAATTTCAAAGGTTCATTGTAAAATTAAAAAATAATTATGTTAAAGTTAATATTATTTTTAAATTATTCTTCAGTATTACTAATTATAACAGGCACATTTAAAAACACATATACAAAAATATATACATTAACAAACATGCTTCTCACGCGATCAGGCACTCATGAGTATTACAGTACAAAAACCTATAATTACTGTAGGAAATATTTATATAGTTTTAGAATTCAAGATCTGACTAAGACTTGTCTCCCCTTTGCTCGTCGTGGTATTTTAGAAATGCTACTCCTGCTTCAAATATGTCATTGACAAAGACTTGCGGTGTTTGTAATGCTGCGAAATGACCGCCGATGTCCATCACGGTAGATCTTACTAATCGCTTGAACTTGTCTTTCAATATCCAATCCGGTTGGTAAAGCACTTCGTATTTGAAGTTTATAGCTGCTGTTGGTACATATGTTGGGATACTGAAAAAGATTCGCCCTTTTTTTTTAATGTTTCATATTAAAGTACGTCGTATGTTGCTCAGATACAAACTTTAATTTTTAAAGCTTTGAGCAACATACAACGTATATCTGTATAAATTAAAGACATCGACTCATGACTATTTTTATTTTTATCGAAGAACCAAATTCCAATTCTCAGATTTATTATTATTGTATTGTTTTGTATTTTGTATGCATTATAAAAAAATTGAATTATTTAGATAAGTTTTCGCTTCTTTTGGAACATTAAATTTAGTATTTTTGCCAATCAAAAATGCCTTTTTTTCTATAATATTCGTCAATTTTCTTTATTTTCCCTTAGAAAAAAAAAAAGATCTCAAAAATTTAACTATATTGATTTTTTCTTGTTGTCATAATTTGAATGTTATCTATATATTCACGCGATAGACGGGATAGTAAATTCGTAGCCCAAATTTTAAATCTGTAGAATTTATCCTTTACATTATGTACTTACTTTTGGACAATAGCAACTTCAGGATGTTTAAAGCCTTCTGCGTAAATTCTAGTAGCTGTTACTACGCAATTATTGGCCCACATAATGGTGATGGTGTCGAGCACGTCTTCTATGTTCAGATTTTCTATGCCGCCATGTGGAGTGTTCAGTTGATCTCTGTTGCTGCAAATAGCCATCTTCTCTATAATATATGCGGCCAGTCCCACCGGTGAATCTGTCAATGCTACACCTGTAATGCAAAGGATTACATATACGTATAATGCTAATCGATTAATTAAAATATTGAGCAATGTGGTGAGATCAAATCTCCAGTAACTCTTTAAGCTAAACTCTAGGAAGTTAGAAACTACGGAGCTAGAACCAAATAACTCCTGAATTATATTTTTAATTTGTGCTATTAGGTACTTTTTGCTATATCAAACTGTCATCTGCAGAAATTCGCGCGTGCAACTTTGATAATCCCTTTTGTCAATTATCATATAATGAGATCAGCAAACAAGAGCTGACCCTAGATTCAAGTTGCTGTAGACAATGGGTGCGTAATTTGGTTCACAGATCTATATTTCGGACGAGACGATCTAAGGGTCAGTGCATATTTGTTAAGAATATCAACGGTTGTGTTTCGTCAGAACTGGCAAATTGGTGACATTACCTTGTATCTTTACGGTGTAAACAAGATTCTCTCTCTCAATATTCTACGGATATTCCATCAGATATGCACTGACTCTTAGGTTTGTCACACATCTAACACTTCTGTCATACGACTCACGGAAGTACGGGTTAGTACCCGTTGGATCAGCAGTCTAAGAGTACGAGGTTCTTAATTAATGAAGCATGTAATTGTCAGTTCCGACATTCCACGATATGTGTTTTCTTTCATTTCTTTCACGCCCAAAATATTAAAAAAATATACTCACCAATGGTATCAGGTTTTGTAGCTTGGATATGAAAATATCCACTCTCCCTTAAAATATAGAAGAAGAGTTTTCTAAGAGGATATATTCTGTCAACGTATCTGGAATCCACTATTAATTTTGGGAAGAAAGCTCCTAATAACACTTTGACGTTGCTTAAATTTCTTGAAGATAGTGGCATGTTAGTGTGTAATCTGTAAACAAATAATACATCTTTTATTTCCAAATTGGTAAAGTGTGTTAAATCTTTGAAGTAGGCAAGCTGATTCATTTATTTTAGTGTAAAAACAATGATATATATGTAGACGATAAACCATCCAACAACAAGCTACACTAACATATCTTATACATTCACTATCGGCGGATTGATACTGATTGTCATAGTGATTACAATGTTATTATTATGCCCTATGATTGTCATTGAAAAACAAAAATTTCCTACTGTACGAATATCAAACATCAAATATATAGATTTGATTATTGGTTTTAGGGATATGATTACAGGAACAGTGATGGAAAACAATTTATCACCTCAAACTTTTTAGTTATTTAGCATAGTTTTCCTTTTGCGAAAATTACCAATGCGATTATTAATTAACGAGGAATCGTTGCCACGGATAGAAAAATGTTTTTGTTTTTATGGATAAAATTCTCATTTTGTCCGAGACCTTGTCAGAACTCTTAGTAGGTTTCTAATCTTATTTGAACGTTATTTTTTGTTGAAAACCTTTTTGGAATTAGTGATTTTTTTGTATATGCGTCGTCTTAAGTACAAGTCTTCTAAATAAAAGTTGTCTAACAATTCCAGCATCCAGTACAATTTAAAAAAAATCTATCTACTCACCCTAAAATTTCATTGGGAAACAAAGTGGCCATATGAGTAGCACACTGGGAACCCCAATCGCCACCTTGTATGAAGAACTTGTCGAATCCTAATCGCCTCATCAAATTCCTCATGATAATACCTATTTGTACTGGATTAAGGCCCGGCTTGTTAGTTCCCTGAAATAAAGTATTTATAATCATCATTGTCAGTGGTTCAAGGTTCAAACTATCTCCATAAAAAATCTATTCAGAACATTTAAAATAAGTATCTGTACTATTTAGAATCATAAAAGATTTACATAAAATGGATACCGTGCTTTTTGTATTACACGGCCGTTGACTCGTAGTTTACAACACGTCCATTATTTTACGATATTTAATACTAAGTTTCAAACTTATATCATCAGTCCTTTTAAGTCCCCACTGCAGGGGCTTAGGCCTTCCTTATGGATGGTTGAGGAGGAAGGGAAAAGCCACGAACCTCCACGCTATCTCAATACGGTTTAGAGGGTATTTACGCGGAGTAGCGCAAGATAACAATTTTTTGAACATCCATCCCGCGACAGACTTAGAGTTGCTTACCGGCAAGAATCGCGGGCCGCATCACTTATTCACTACTCCACCGAACTACGCATACGCGGTCGGAACTGACAAATATATGTATTTGTTAGTTCAACCATTCATTTCAGTTCAACATTTAACCCTTTATATCGTCTAATAGTTTCATATGTTCCGTCATTTTTGCGTCGACCTTAAACTTCTGGAGAACAGCAAATTGACGTGCCAAAGTAACAAATATATTCGAATATTCAAACACTATAAATAATATTCACATCAGGGCGGTTCTATAAAACAAAATGTAAATGTCTACCTCCGAAAATCCAAATCCAGGAAGGTCCGCTGCTATTACTTCAAAAACAAAGTCGTAACCTTTCCTGGGTGCAGTCAGTAGTGGTATTACTTTGTCGAACTCTTTTGAGGAACTTGGCCAGCCATGTAACATCAGCAGCGGTAGTACTTTTCTGCCTTCCGCTTTTGGCGGTTGCACCCTTATGAAATGTATATCCAAGCCTTGGATCCTGGTCTTGTAATGTGGGAATTTGTTGAGCAATTTCGCCCTGCCTTTAAAGTCGTACTTGTCTACCCAGTGTGCTAGTATTTTCTCCAAATAAATAGTGTTCATGCCGTATTCTGACTGGATACCTTCCAAAGGTTTGGTCAGTGGCCGTCTGTTTCTGATCCTCTGTTTTAGATCTTGTATCATCTGTAAAATAAAATAAGAGAAATATTTAGATATAATAAAAACCGATCAAGTGCTAGTCGGAAACACAAACAGTGTTCCGTAAATGTACAATATATAAGCAAAGTACTATTTCTATATTTATATCAATACTAGCTTTCCGACAGCAACTTCGACCGCGCTGAAATTTATTAAGCCTATTTTTCGCAATAAAAACTATCCTATATCCTTTCCCATAGTAGTTCAGTAGTTTTGGCGTGAAAGCGTAACAGAGACTCACGCAGAGTTACTTTTGCATTTATAATATTAAGATGGATTTTATTTAGAGTTACGAAACGAAGATAAATAGGTGATAATGGTCAAATCGTTAATTAATCTCACACCTTGCAATTCTAATGCGGTGACTCAGTTTTCATAGATAGAATTCAAATATTCACACTACACAGTTACAAATAGAAAATGTAGCTCATGATTATTAAGGTCCTAAATTCACTGCTACTTTTATTAAATTTGAATCATTTTATTCACGCTGAAATCATTATATATTCTTACCGTATCATTGAAGTCCACATCGAAAGGCCTAATCGCTACATCTTCTTGTTTCGGCTTTGTTCCTATACCCCACCACCTCTCTAAATTGAATTGCGGCTTCTCTGGCACTTTATATAAAACGTACGTAACGATGAGACCAGTCCCTATGCTGACCACAGCTACAAGCGACGATAACATTTTCATCATCTGAAACAAAAAAATCTCTTAATATAAAAAATCTACATAAGAATAATATTAAATAACTCATTATGAAGACCTTCGCGGTCGTCGACAGAGTAGCTCGTACTCAGGTTTCAAAGTGTTCCCTGATATTCCGGGTTCGAGTCCCGATCGGGTGAATATAGAAAATGCTTTCGTTACTTAATTTGATATCTAAGCATGCTTTTGATTTTGTTAAATATTTATTTTTAACATTGAATTAAACTAAAGTGTTTCTTAGTAATTCAAACGATTGAATGCTTGAACTTAATTGGGTACATACACCATCGTGTTAAAGTATTGAAAGTAATATTTTCAATTGTAATGTTAAGTATATTTAAATGCGTGTGTTGTCCCAGTTTTGGATATGACTTTCTTTTTTCGCATCAGATGACTTCTTTTAACGATATTGTCCTCATTACGATCGACTTTCAAAAATATATTTGCTTTATTGTGTAGGTACCCGTTTTTGGTGAATGGTTGAATGAAGTCCTATAGATAACATTTAAATTTGGTTTTGCCTCGAGCGAATTTATTGAGAGTTCTATTGAAAGAGGGTAGGAGTTTTAATAGGAAAAGTAAGTCATTAATATGAGACCCGTTTTAGTAAATATAAACATACCCTCAAAATTGAATTCAGGTTCCATGTTTTAGATAATGTCCATTTTTTTTTTAAACTAATAATTTGTTTTTAACATAATACGGATTTGACGATAACTTAACGTAACTAGTTGATATATTCAGTTAAGAAATGTGTGTTGAAAAAATGTCATCTACCTACTGCTCATGATATATTTTTTTCTATTTGTAATTTTGAACTTCCTTATTGTTAATCGCTTAGCATCTGTAACAAGATATATAGCGTACCTTATCAACCACCTGGAGGAATCTTAAGGAGTTTTTTAACACTTCCGTTTAAGAGAAACAGTGTAACACTCTAACGATAGTCTTATTATACTAAAAAATAAGGCAAACACCGAATATTACCTTTAGCAAGTCACTGACAACAATAGATCATTTTGGAAGATTACCTGCTTATTATTTTAAAACTTTTCATCATAGCGCTGTGATTATACCTTGGATATATATTAACAAATTTTAGAGCAGAATTTGGACACACTTATAAATGAAGATATCATTACGTTAGTACATTCGTGAGATAAGTACGTGAAAAATTGGCAAGTGTTAAAAATATATGTGTTGTGAAAACTATTGTTAAATTATCGAAATAACATGCCTTCTACATTAAATGCACCTTTTATTATATTTGCGATATTCAAGAAAATTATACAAATAAATAAATAGGACGCCCTAACAAAGTATTTATTAATAACTTCATAATATTAATAAGTACCTAGTAATTGATTAATAGAATCATTCATATCTTTTTTTACCTGTGATATACATTAGTGGCATGTGTTATCATACTTATTCCTATTGTCTTAGTTGTATTCGGTCGTTGATATGACATTATGTGTTTTATTATATTAAAAACAGTGACGCTCATTTTTTAATTTATATTTGTTTAAATAAGTTACGATGTGAAAATACTTTAACGTAATATATTTGTATTTGATTAATTTTAATGATAAAGCTTAGACTAATACAGACCAGATGAGTTAACGCATTGCAAATGTGTTTTACTGAGAGTGAGAATTAGGAACACCTTTTAATAATACCTTTTCCATTTGAAACTTACACACTTCCTGATGGACATAGCGGCTACTTCTTATCCTTGTACCACGGGCGATGCCGCGCCAATAAATTATAAGTAGTTGGCGACTGAAATTTAATTAAAGCACCTACAGAGAACCGTGAAACGGCTTTAGAAATTTTGAAATAAATTTAGCGCCTGGTTGTCTTAAATTAACTTTATTAAACCTTTTTTTTATATTTCTACCCGCATTATTTCGTGTTTAAAATACATGTTAAGTAATTTAATTATCTTATAAATTAAACTATAAAAGCATTGCACGATAAAACATTTCTACACGGCGTTTCGCACAGCATTATTCCCAAGTAAATAATTTAATTTAGTAGGCAATCATTTAAGTAATTTTTCTTTTTTATTAATAGTCGCTAGGCAATTTTCCTTTACATGTTTTTTTTTTTAATTTTCAGTGTTTATTTTTTTTATTATCAGTTTTATATGAGATTATTCAATAAAAAACAAAAAGTTTTTAACATCATACCTTTAAAAACTGTGATAGAAAAGCTTGAGTGATGAGATATACTGAATTATTGTTGCTATTAAAAATCACAGTATGTACAATTTATTGACGTGTCAAGATCAATTTAAAAATATATATAATTTCACACTTGAAACCACGTGCGCCTATGCCGATGTCGAGCGTCCAATACTTAATTATCAGGTGCATGGTAGGCGTGAGGTTTCAGACGATTTCGGCCTCGACCTAGAAGAAAGCAAGCGTACACTGCAAGCGACGCTATACAATTTACTAGCTACATTTTGCTTTCTTTGAACCAGGGACTCTTCAACCCGATTATGTTTACCGATTTCTTTGCGAATTTTATATAAAATATGTATTGGAAAAAATATTATTTATGTCGAGCTAATAAGTTACATCAATTACATTTTTTTTTTTTATTAAATCCTACTTAATATTTTTAGAATATATACATAGATTATTTTTGTGTATAAGTACAAAAACATAATATATTTTCAGTATACCTATAGAATCGATTTCATTTTTTTTTATTCAGAACAACTAAACATATTTTTTATAAATCACAACAGATTATATTAATCGTATAATGAAGGTTAACTTTTGGTCTTTTTACGGGGTGTTTCTAATCTAACCCATTTCGCGGGTTTAAATTACTTTTTTTTTTTCAATGTTCTATACATTGGTATGCCTAGGTTTAGTTGTCTTTCAATTATATCTTTATTCGAATCAGGAGTGCATATAAAGTTGAATTTCTTATTCTCAGCGCTAGGTACCGAGTGATGTTTATACTCTTGATTCTTCAACACACATTTATATCAACATTTTTTCCTTGCGAAACACGTCGAGTAACATTAATTATGTGAATTTTAAAGCAATAACTATTTATTTTCAAATGAAAAAGATATATATATATTTTTTTTTATGAAAAAGCCAAATGCCAAAAAAATTGGTTAACTTTACCTTATTTTAGATAATAAAAAGCCTTTTGTGAATAGTTTTGTTTGTTGACGTGCGTTAAATGGAACCATAAATATTTATGTTACTAGTACATAAAATGCATTCTCTTAAGATATTAATTACTACAATATCGCTTTCTGTGTAGAATTTGTTTAGACTACTCTTTTGTTCAATAACGGATATATGGGATGCAGAAAAAAAAAACTTATTGTTGATCTACCTCTCTTTAAAATTATTAATATAATAAAAAAATGAAAGACCAAATGTTTCGACGTATAAAATATTTTCTTATATCTTTGTTATAATTATGTTTATTTGAGATGATAATCTTTGAAATCAGATCATCAGATCAAAAACACACTGATATTTACAGCTAACTTTGAATAAGGTTATAAGTTATCTAAATAAATTCAATTATATTTAAATTTACTTACATAAACGACTGACGACGGTTTGACGATTAAACCAAAAACAGCTATATAAGATTTTTTAAGTGTGTGATTCAAAATTGTGACTTTTTACCTGATTTTAGTAGTTTCGTTGTCTCTGACCTGTCATCTGCTGCAAGAAAATATCGATCGACCTATATTTGTGTCTCTCCGAATGAATCTATACGTACACTAATATTATATAGAGGAAATATTTGATTGTTTGTATCGAATAAGCTCCGAACATTTTACCGCTTGTTCAAAACATTTTCGCGTGCCGCGGTTCTCTTCGAGGACTCCGGAACAAACAACCGACAAACGGGACGGTACCATTTAAATGGGACATCTGGTCACCTTAGACATTAGCCATAAAAATTTGGAATTTATAACATACATTAGACCTTAAAGTCGTCATTAAACCTTACAGTATTATTAATGAACAAGGTTAAGCGTTAAAGTAAATTTACGCTAAGAGTATAAGTCAAAATTCATATTATCAAACAGAGACTTAACAAAAGTTAACTTAGTACGAGTAATAGAAGGTGTGCTTATTATCTTTATAATATGAATTTGGACTAATAATAAAATTGTAATTTTAGCGGAAATTTACTCTGACGCTAAACCTTGTTTATTAATAGCACTATTAGTCGTTTGTGCAATTGTTTGTCATCTAAAGGAATGCTGAAAATTACTTACATTAAAATAATAGGCATTTTAAATCAAGTAAGTAGATAAGGCACATAGTAGTTTGATAAATTAAAGATGAGAAAACTAAAACTCATTATGAGTAATCTGAATGCTGTCCATTGAATTATCAATTGCATTGTTGAATTTGTTTATTTGTTTCTCCGCAAACAAAGATGGCTACTTACTAATTAGATTTCGTCTCAATATTTTTGACACTAGTAAAGATCACAGATATGGAACTGTTCCTATTTAAAATATAACTCTCTAGTCTTGATTCTAGCCATGGGATACGACATTTTATCGATGTTATGGCGAAGTTTCGTTTCATTTTACTATTTTGACATGTACTCTGGTGGATAAATTTGGGATAAATAACTAAGCTTAAAACACTGCTAATAAATTTATAATTATCATCCTGTATCGTTCGGTCGTCGTTGCTAAAGTACTTATCAAAGTAGTAAAATGAAACGAAATATCTTCTTATCTTCGATAAGATGTCGTATCCTATGGCTAGGGTTTGGCGGTCGCTTTGCTGTTCCTAGTATATCACTCGTAACGCAACGGGCTACCTTGTTAATATATATTATTTTCTTTTCTCCCATTAGATTCGTCCTACATTTCTGTTTGGCATGAGCTTCCCACAGGACGAAGTTTTGCAAGGAGAGTTAACGGAAAATAGCAAACAGACAATTCAGAACCGCTACTTGGAAGCGAATGGCGCCGCTGAAGACGAACCATTCGGTGGAGCTCAGAACGTTATGCAGGGCTACGTAAAGTCACAAGCTGTCTCTGACAAGGTTGGTTTGTAGGCATCTGGCCTGGTGGTCATATTGGCCATGTACCTGGATTTACTAAGGAATAATGCAAAAGAAAAGACGATAGAGGATGTCGATAGCGCAGTGGCTAGCGCGTGCTGCGTACGATACGGTTATTAAGCAACTTTCACAAAGGCTAGTCATAGGATGGGTGACCAAAAAGTTATTCGGAAGGCATGATAAGCCGTTGGTCCCGGCTACATTTGCAGTTGTTAATAGCCATCAATATACACTGGGCCTGCCATGTCACATCCCAATGGGTCATATCTCATTCTCCCTATTCCATTTGACTCGGTTCCATCCATAGTGATGGCGTATGCTCCAACCATCAGGTGATGATGATGACGAAAAGTAAAGAATATCGATAAATGCAATGAACTTTAATGATAATCTTATTTCAATAATAATTTGCACGAATTCTAGCAACTAGCTAAAGTTTTTTTTATTTAATTAGATATATAACTCATTTATATTAAATGATATTTATTTTTGTTACTTCAAGTCCTGACTTGCCCCACGCTGGGTACGCTCGTGTGAACTGTGATCTGTCCCTATGGGTTATAACATGTTTATGAATAATATAAGTATCATGTTACTTATGGCCGGTTTCTGAATTGAGAAAAGTACAAAATCTCTACTGAATATTCTCAATAACTTAAATTTTCTACTTTTCACAAGGCAAAAAGTCTTACTTTCTTTTTATCACACTGCTGCCGAGTGATTATTAAAAAGCTAAATAAAGAAGCGGAAACCTGTTTAAGTGACGTTTGAGTACTGTTTGAGATCTGCTTAACTTTAATTACTCAATTCAGAAACAGGGTGTTAGTCTATTTTTAATACGATAAATAAAATATTGTAAAAATAACAAATTTTGTTTTACTTATATCTAGTCGGTTGCTGACTGCGTTGAAGCCTTGATTGGTACTTATCTTCTAAGCGGTGGCGTGTTGGGAGCCGTCCAATTTATAGAGTGGATAAAAATACTGCCGCCACAGGTGAGAATCATATATTTCTAATAGATTTTTTCTGTGAGGTAAGGAACTACTTTATATTCCAAAATTTTAGGCTTCGTAGTTTCTGAGGTCAATAAGGACGATGCCGGGGTAAAAAAACCTATATATTCCGTCAATCAGACTAAAGAAAAATATTAGAAACGTATTTTTTTTGCTTCAATTTAAATTCATTTCTTTGTAAAATTTTTGGGTATCCTAAAATATGCAAGGGTATTATAGCCAAGTCAAATCCCAATAAAAATAAGCCTAGTTCGGCGTACAAATATTTCATAAGCTTTATATGGAATTAAATTCAGATAATATTATAATGTTATTATTATTATTAAAAATATTGTTAATGAAAAACGCTTGTAACATTCACTTTGTCCTTATCACTCTGAGATGGGACTCGAACCCAACAAAATAAATTTTATGAAACTAATTTGTAAAATATTACGCTTCGAAAACATGAAAAAAGTAGGAATAAATATACTACAAAAATTTACTCAAATACATATGGCATTTACGACAACTTTCATTATACCAACTATAAACATAAACGCACAAATAACATAGATATTACAAAGATAGCCTAGACGCCCATACGTTATTCGTTACCGTAGCACTGTATGACGTCACTTGGTGGTTTGAATTTGTATGGAGCGTTTTCGGTCACAAACACAGCACCATATCAAACTATTAATCGCAGACATGCTGTTTATATTATTTCTGACATATTAACGGAGTATTTAATTCTAAAATAAAAAAAAAGGTTGTCAACAAGCCTATTGAAATATACTTTTACTATGCAAGATAATGTCACTTCTTCTCCTTAACACTAATAATATGTATACCCACAGGACAATTTCGCTCAACTCCTGCATAAAACAGTCCCTACGGTAATAGCAGAGAAGAAGGCGACTGTTGCTGATGTCGATTTCCTCTTGAACGGCTGCCGAGGAGATATAGAAAAATTGTTGCAGTACAAGTTCAAAGATCCATCGTACTTATTAGAGGTATAAATTACTGTGAATTTATTCAACAAAAAAGAGTAATAGGCATTAGTGCCGATTCTGTTCTACCACCCTCTAAACTAAGCATACTAAAATGTTCCAAATTTGAATTAAGATTTACATCTGTTATCTTAGCTATTTTCACGGTCGAAAACGCAGTTTTGCGAAAAGTATTTTAAAACTTTCATTTCATCATATTAAACCACTGACAGATTGATTTTTCTCCAAAAAATGTAAAAAAAAGGTTTTATTCATTCATTTAAATTGTCCCACGAATACGGTCACGTGATATTTCGAGCCGTGATGTCATGATTATGATGATTACATTACAATAAACACGAATACTGTTTGAACTTGCAACAAAGACGTTGATGTGTAGTTTATTGTAATGTAACGTCATACGATGCTCCGTCATGGCCGCCCGCATTTTGGTTCTTATAATCCACAGAATTTAAACAGCAAATTAATTTTGAACAAATAAAATATACTTACAAATTATTTTAAAACAAATAGTTATTATTTACATATAACTTACCATTTCCAACATATTTCATAAATTGTTGTTATAACTATCGTATAGCCTTGTACAAGTACCTAAATTAAGTATGTTATAAGTATGCTTTTTAAATTAATTTGTTGAATTAAAATTTTCGCATATTTATTTATAGGCCATGTCCCATTCTTCGTACATTCGCAACAGGATAACCCGCTCGTACGAACGTCTCGAGTTCTTGGGTGACGCTATACTTGACTTCCTTATAACCGCTTATATTTTCGAGAATAGCGAAGAATTGAAGCCAGGTGAACTGACAGATTTGCGATCTGCCCTAGTCAATAATGTCACCTTTGCTTCGTATGTCGTCAAATTAGGACTTTACAAGTAAGTTTACAAGTAATTTGATTACATCTAATTTGTATTTTACACTTTATGGTTTATAAAACAAGACTAATTATCAATTATAATTATACGACGACAACTGACGACATAATTGGTAGTTGTGCTTTGCGAAAACAAATACTACGTGTTACTGTACTGAAATGTAAGTTGTGGTATACGAGCTTGTAACATTTTTTTCGATGCCTGAACGCCTATTCTATTTATCCTTGAAGGAAAAATCGGAAAGTTTCGGATCGTTCTTATAATTTCGATAAATCATATCTGTGACGATCATCCGATACACAATCAAAGACAGTGTCATGTTCTATCACTATCGCACCATAAATTACGAAAAATGCATTTCTTTGGAGTCGCATTTCGAAAATAGATGAAGTTCCGTTTCCGTTTTCGAATAAACTGAATAGGCCTTCTGCTGTCATGTGTCATTTTGTAGCGAAGCGAAAGTTCGCTTATTGTTCTCTTTGGTTCGCTTTGTCATTATAGGTTACAATAATAAGAAAAGCCTTAAATTTTTTATTTATTGACTTAATTGTCTAAACTTCTAAATATTAATGCATATTTAGTTTAGCAAACTAAATCTTAGGTTGGGGAAAAAGTCGTTTCGCATATAGTATGCATAAACTTGTAATAATATTTTTCTGGCTATACCAATTGTAGCTGGCTGGTTTCGATATCATTAAAAGTTTCAGTTTTAAAAAGATAACTCTTAATTCAAATTCCGTAAATGTGTGATTTTCATTTGTTTTTCTTACTGTCACAATGTGTGAATCTAATGAACAGCACAAATTTGGTTTAAGCGCTTTCAGTCCGGAAATATTGATGTCGCCCTATCTATACTTATATTATAAAGCTGAAGAGTTTGTTTGTTTGTTTATTTGAACGCGCTAATCTCAGGAACTACTGGTTCGAATTGAAAAATTATTTTTGTATTGAATAGACCATTTATTGAGGAAGGCTATAGGTTATATAACATCACGCTGCAACTATTAGGACCGAAGAAATAATTGAAAACGCGGACGAAGTCGCTGGCGGCCACTAGTTACGGATAAATTGGATGGTATTTTGGAAAAAGTAAAGCAAGATCGGCATATTAGTAATTACGACGTAGCTCAAGAACTGGGATTGACCACAAAACAGTTTTGGTGCATTTGAAAAAAATGGGTACACAAAAATCTTGGATATTTGGGTACTTCACGAGCTCACTGAAAGAAACCTAATGAACCGTGTGCTCATTTGTGATTATATAATATGTCGTAATGAACCGAAGCATTTTTGAAGAATTTGATAACTGGATGATGATACGTGGATCACGTACAAGAACGTGCGGAAAAGGTTGTAGTCAAAGGTCGGTTTAGGCTTCACAGACTATGGCGAAAACCGGGTTAACTCGCAACAAGGTGATGATGTGTGTATAGTGGGATTGGAAGGGCATTATTCATTATGAGCTATTACCGCCAGGCAGGACCATTGATTCTGAACTCTACTGCAAACAACTGATGAGATTAAAGTAAGAAGTTGAGCAAAAATCAGCAAAAATAAAGAGAATTTGGCTGGGAGGTGTTAATGCCATCCATTAGCCGTATAGTCCTGACCTGGCACCTTCAGATTTTCACCTGCTTCGGTCTCTTCAGAATTATTTAGGCAGTGTCAGGTTAACGTCACGTGAGGACTGCCAAAACCGCTTGTCGCAGTATTTTGATCAGAAGCCCCAAAATTACTATAGCAATGTGATCCTGCCCCTACCTACTAGATGGCAAAAAAATATCGAACAAAATGATACCTACATACTTTAGTTAAATGGAAATAAACTTTATTAAAAATGTTTTGAATTTTCCTATAAAATGCGAAGGAACTTTCCCCAACCGATTATTTACATATCATATTTTTGGGCAAGATCCTTTGCATCGTAATTTATCTAAAAATGTGTCTTCGTGTTCATCATATTAGCATTTCGGAATCAGACGAAATTTTGTTTTCGAATAGATACAATAGACCTTCAGGTGTCATGTTTATTCGTACGGGTTAGTATAAATGCCATATGTTGTTTACTCACAAAAAAATGTCATCAGGTTCCTCTGCTCCCAACTGAATCCTGTTCTGGATAGTGCTATAATGGCGTTCGTTGAGCATCAAGAACAAAGGGACCACGAGATTATTGAAGACGTATTATATTTGATTGAAGAAGACGAATGCAATTTAGCTGAATACGTTGAAGTTCCTAAAGTGAGTATAGTAAACAATGAAATAGTGAAGTATCTCTTATAATTGAATTATATATTTCTTTTTATTAATTTAGCGGTCCTTCGAAATTTGGTTAAAAATTTGTCGCCATTTCCGAGGCTCCGGGTTCGATTTCCAGCCGCGTCAACAAATAAACTTTTTTTGTTGCCTCGGATCTGGATGTTGTGTTACCTTCGTTGTTTCAAATTTCCGTAATGCAATTGCTTTAGCTATTTCTGTGCAATGTATGTGATGTTATCTAATATTTACTTATATCTGAAGGCCCCGGGTTTGATTCGCAGCAAGGTCAATGTAGAACATGAAATTTTCTATATCGTCTATGATCTATGCTGTGGTATCCACGTTGTTTCTTATTTCCATACTTATATCTGAAGACCACAGGGTTCGATTACTGGCCGTGTCAATGTAGAAAATGCACTTTTCTATATCGTCTCTAGTCTGGACGTTTCTAGTCTCGACGAAATAAAACAGGCATTGGTCTTCTATTGAGAACAGATTAGCATTAGAGGTATACAGTAAAATCCTTTCGAAAGGTCATATGCCCCTCTCGCGTTCTCACTTAGGCGAGTTGGAGGCTTATTTTATTACAGAATACAGAGGTATATAAAGATATCGATGCTGCAATTCAAACACGTAGAAACCTGCAAAACCAAAATGGATATTTAAAGTGGAAAATCTTTAAAAGTATTTTTACGGAAAAAAAAATATTTCCGTATAAATTGACTAAGGAACACCTTACTTGTTACCATGAACGTTTGTAGGAATTATTTATCGAAAAAAATAAAAGCTTTTCTGCTCTGAAGAACAATTTTGGTAAGTTACTGTGTTTGCTTTCCAGCATCAATATGTTCTCTATAAGTTTCAGTGACAACTATAGAGAACATAACTTTATATTATTGTATTTTATCAATTTTTTATTCACAATACTATACTGGAAATGGATTTTTAGTAATAACTTTATATATCACTATAGGTACTCAGTGATATATTAGAGTCACTCGTCGGTGCTATATACCTGGACTGTGGTGGAGATTTGCAGACCGTATGGAAAGTCATATACCGCATCATGTGGAAAGAGATAGATGCATTTTCGAAGAGGATCCCTCAGCAGCCAGTGCGAGTTTTGTATGAGAACGTACATGCTTGCGCTGTATTCGGGTAAGAATTATGAAATTTTAACGTTTTCTTATATTTATGATTGATAATGAAAGAGCACAATCTATACTTTGATGAAAGATCTTTATGCAGTGATTAGTGCGTCCGGTCTTCAATACAGAGGTCAAGTAAAGCTACCAAGTGTTTCGGAAGGCACGTTAAGCCGTTAGTCCCGGTTGCATTTGCAGTTAATACCCTGCAATCCGCATTGGCCTTGGGAGGGAGGGAGGCCTGAATCCCTACAGTGAGGACGTAAAAGGTCTGATGATGTGTCAAATCATATTTATAATAAGGAAGTATTTAAAAAAGAAACATTAGTTCCCGAAATCAAACTAGATGTCGCTACGGTACTTCCGGTTTTTTTCATGTTTAAAAGTTAATTACTTTTCAAAACTCAATAAACAACTCATGTTCTATTTGTACTTTTTCGTATTTGTATTGATATCTAAGTTTCGAACTTTTCAAATGTCAGTTTTTCAATTTGTTAGTTAAAAGGAACGGAAATTACTGTCTTTAGTCCATTCTTTTCCTGCAAAAATCAAATTTTGCTAGAGTCGCATTCTAGTGGAGGTGCTTTTTTAGTGCTTTTGTTTTTTTTAAATACTTCCTCATTGGAATGTTTGTGTACCTGAATAAATAAATAAAAAAATATTTTCTAGAAAACCTCAATTGACTACTTCCGATGTACCCAAAGTGATGATGCCAGTGACTGTAACTAAAAACGGTCGACAACACACCGTGTACGGCTTCGGCAATAACAAGTTTCAGTCGAAACGAGCGGCCGCAAAGATGGCGCTTAAAATACTGTCCTTGTAAATGAAAGTTTATTGTAATTAATATTTTCGACGAATTTTAGTTTTCACAATTATTTAGACATCTCATGTTCGAAATAACTTGTTTCCTCGCGACTTCGCCTACGTAAATTTATACTATATATCACCCGCGTAAGATGGCGAAGATTTTTTATAAATCTGTCCTGTAGTTTCAGAGCCTATTCGAATCAAACAATATATTATTTATAACGTTTGGTATAGATGACTTGCACTTGAACATTTTCAAACAAATGAAATTTTGTAATAAGGTACTGTTAGTAGGTAACTAAATTTCGCCCGCGGGTTCGCCCTCTTGAATTACTCTCTATTTTCATGAAAAACGCAGTAAAATACTAAAGTCATGTGTAAAGAAAGATCTTACCGTTCAGACAGCGGGTAGCAATGTTATCATTGTTTAATATTTTATTGTCGTATTTGCTTATAAATTTTGATTTTCCATAAAAACATTCACACACATTTTCATCTTTTCAAGTGCTTATTTTCAGAATATAATATAATTTATTTACTTTCCAAGGTCTTAAATTATTCTAATGCTAATTTTAATCACTGAATATCCAAAAGCAAAGAACTTTCATACAAAGGTTTTCATACTATTTAAACCACTTAACATACTATTTAAACAACTATGTAATAAGACGAATTTATCTTCCAAATTTAAAGTCTCTATGACCTTTAGGCTGTGCGTGATCAGTGTGTCAGGACAAAGATTTTCTACATTATCTTACATAGTGAAATTAAAATATGTTAAAAGTAGTTTGTTAGTTGTTTTTATTGGTTATACTTTATAATTATTGTACAAAATATTGCAATAATTTTAAATGTCATTTTTATCACTATCTCAAAGAAAAATTGATTTTAAATATTAAAAAATATTTTCTATTATTTAAGTATGCTTAGATATAACTAGAATCCGATGTCCTAGTTACGTTTTAATTATTTAAATATTTTATCACTATCATTTAACTATTATAATTATTTGCAATAGGTAATTATATGCAATATGTAGGTATTTAAAGATTAATTTGGTTTACATTTATAACGCATTATTCATATTTGACTTGTATTCTCTTTAAAAGTCGATTTAGATATTGATAAATAGGAACACGATTATGTTTTTTTAGAATAAATATCTTTTTGTTGTAAAACGCATTACTGGAGTATTGAAATGTCTATTTTGAGATAATAAGCCCAAAAAAGACCTCCGTGGCCAAGTGGCTCGGACGGTTTCAATATGTCAATGTAGAAAATGAAATTCTACTAAATAAATTTTGTGACATACGATACAATTCCAGTTCTATTTTAGCTGGAATTGTATCGTATGTCATTTAGTAGAATAGAAAGACCATTAAAAACTGTAGTTTCGTTCGGTTTCGATCCGTTTTAGATTCGATTTAAACAAAATTTATTTAGTGATTTGGCCCCCCAGACCTGGGGGCCAAATCTAAATAAATTTTGTTTGTGTTGTATTCAGTTTCTATATATGGGATCAGAGTTATGTAAGTGATGTCGTTTAATATATATATATTTATTTATTAAAAAAAAATGCATGTAGCCACTGCATGATAGCGAAGACGGTGCGTGCGTTTTGTGAATAATCTGAGACTGATACAATAGTCCACTATTATACCAAGCAAAATAAAACTAATTTTATTAAATGAACGTTGTTAGTTTTCTCGAATTTATTGCTATTTATATAACACGAGTTCAGTCAGGCTGATTTTCACGTTGTCAGTAAAAAGTTCAGTAACCAGCTTTAATGCTGACGCCGAACTGCTGTCACGACGCAGCAAGCCAATGCTAACCTAATAATCATATCTCGATAAAATCTCAACGATTTGCACTTAACCATTGTCTTCAGGTAGATAGTACAATGGGAAAATGTAAGTATTGATTCTATCGAGGTGCGATCGTTACGTAAACAATATCAGAATTTGCCCGCTGGTAACGTTTTTACTATTCAGTTTACACTAGTGATATTCTGAAATTAAGACAGCGCGTTGAGTTTGGTTTGCATAGTGCCATGTCACAGCATATAGCTTCAATCAAATAAAACAAACTTTGAAAGGTAGAGGATTTATTTGGTTAAAAGTAATGAGGAAGTATAAAAGAAATAGTTCCCAAAATCAAACTAGATGTCGCTACGGTACGTTCTTGATTTCTCTATGACAACCCGTCCGGTTTTCTTTCATGTTTAAAAGTAAATTAGTTTTCAAAACTCAATAAACAACTCTTATTCTATTTGTACTTTTTCATATTTTATTTGATATCTAAGTTTCGAACTTTTCAATTTTCAGTTTTTCAATATGTTAGTTAAAAGAAACGGAAATTACTGTCTTTGGTCAAAAATTAAGTTTTGCTAGGGTCGCCATCTAGTGTAGGTCCTTTTTTAATGCTTTCGTTTTTTTTCTACTTCCTCATTACGTTCGAGGCTTTACTTAAGGTCAGTAACTGTCTGCGAAATTGAAGCAAGTCAGTGCTATCAGTGCTGCTTTAGTATTCTGTAATAAAATAGTTAATTCTAAAAGCAGACGTAAATGTGAGAATGAAAATTATGATAGGTTACCTACACCTACCTACATAATGCCTTAAAAAATATTATAATGCATTATGTAGGTATTGTTACCTACATGTAGTCGAGGTTTATTTTTTTAAATTTATATGTGTCAAACACAAAAAAAATATATAATTTCTATATTTATGAAGAAACAATAATATATTTTTACCTTTTTATAATAAATTCTATAATTCTTACTGCCTATACTAGATTTAATTATCTTGAAATTGTGAGTGTCAATTTGAATGTAAAATTGAAGTATTAGTCAACATATTGAAATTATATTTTTATCAGACTGAGTCGTCTTGTGTTCGTTTAAAACGATATCAACTTTAAGTAACTTTTTCAAAATTCTAATATGACTTACCTGGATATAAGTGTATGTGTTAAGATCTTAATATATAATAAACTAAAAGTATCTAGATCACCTAATAACCGAATTGATACTAAAGGGGGGAATTCACTCGACTGGCATGCCTGCAGACTCGCCCGTGAGCATACCCATCTAGTGAATTCCACGCTTAAAATAGAGGTACTGTCACAAGAATATATTCACCAAAAATTGTAGTCTAACATTGTATGCGTTAAATTAAAGGAATTTCAATTTCGTAATAATTGTTTTGAATTTGTTAAATCAAATAAATATCGTGAGATTACCAGTCGAATAAAGTCACAACACTTCCTAGCGAACAATATAAAATATATCTACTCTTTATTAGTTATTATGGTCACTCTTTTGTCTTTATACGAAATCAGTTGAAAGTTGGTGATTTTTGTTTCATGCATCCTTTTATCAGTGAAACTGAATTTACTATTGGTTATTTAAGCAAGCAATTTTATAAACGTTAGAGTTACACACAGTCTTTACAACATACGTTACGAAAATTTTAACCTGAAATATCCGAACAATAATACTTCCAGTATAGAGTAACCTTTAGTTTTGATCGATGTTGTTATAATTAAGGTATCAATAAGACAATCCTAAATGAAATCTTTGTATTATAAGAATTTAAATGCGAATGTCGAATGTTAAAAGTTTGACGCAAAACGACGACGTTTTTGGTTTGATTTTTATTTTTGGAGGTCTTACTGATCCCAAATGAAAAAATAATGATATAAAATATCTATTATTTAAACATAAAAAGCAATATCTTCATTATTATCTACGTAATGCTATTGTCGAATTGCGATATGTTACTGTAACCCTTTGAGAAATTCATGTTCTGCGTCAAACTGGTTTTATCTAGAAATAATATAATCGGGGCAAAATTGTGCAAGACCTTTCTAAATCTGAAAATTTAGTATGTTGAAGTTGACCACCCATCTGATGGCGCACCTAACCTCTACACTGGGTATAGAGTGATTTATACCCTTAGTATTTCAACTTAGTATTACTTAGTATTTCAACCTACTGAAATATCAACCTTTAGACAGATTTTCCACGTTTTTGTCACTATCTCTTAGACTATATTCATTAATTAGATACGTATTAAATATAAGAAATTTTAGAAGACTGCTATGTATTTATTAGATGATTATACATGCATGTGTATTAAATGCGTCACTCAACTATTGTCTTCTGTAATTAAATAAAATCATTTTTATATTTTTGTTTTTTATTTACTAGATTCAAATAACCTAACTACATGAACCCGTATAGATGTTAAATAGTGGTTTAAATATAAAGTAGCATCTATATACGACATCTGCTAGAGTCAGTATAATTATATATCTCAAGCTGGCAGCGCCACCCTCTACGATTTCGAAATGAATTCTTGATCCACCCAATTTCTTATTTATCAGTATGGGACATAGTGGCTAAAGTAAATACTTTTAGATAATTTTGCGCTGCTGGGCTGGCATCAGTCTGGTAACTCCACGCTATATTTTCTAAACTATAGTACTTTAGACGCTCATTCTTCAAAAATAAGTAATTTTAGCTTTTGTTCATAAAAATATAAATATTCGCCACTATAGGGTACCAAGTGGAGTAATTATCTCAACAATCACAAAGTATTTTACCGCTCAAACTATTCCAATCGAATGTTCCCATTCGATGGTGGGCTCGATGAGGGAACGTCTCCAAGCTGTCATAGAGGCAGATGGCTGTTACACGAGATTTTAAAATTATAAAAGAATTGAATATATTTTTAACCAAAGAATTAGCATTTTCACTACCTCTTCTAGTTTTAGCCCTTGTCTCGCACTTAGCAGGGTTGCTCTATTCATTTCTATTACCCGTCATCTCAGTATATTCAGACCGATAACACTAATATCTATTTACTTATAGCATTTCACTGCCTACTGAAATTTTTATTTGCATTAGAATATTTTATAATTTATCTACATTCTAATGTAGAATATTTGTAGTCGGGAACTAAATTTTTCATTATGGATTATAAATAACTAGTTTTCCGCCTACGGCTTCGTCTGCGTGGACCAGTTTTGTTGGTTTTCTATTTTGGTAGTAGTAGTTGGTAGTCTATTTTCTAAGTTAGACTTCAAGCAATGCAACTGTGGAAACCGCATTTATGAATGAATGAATGAAATGAATGAAAAATTCTTTATTGTACACCAATGGACAAAAACAAATATAGGGATACAATAAATGTGAATGCACAATTGGCGGCCTTATTACTAAAAAGTAATTTCTTCCAGGCAACCTTGTGAACTGAACGAAAATTATATCTACATTAGATTAGATTTAGGGTAGCTTATGGTGTCTCAAACTTTATCATTTAATTTCGTTCAGTACATAGTTATGGCGTGGTACCCGGGCAGAAAAAAATGGCTTCTATTAGTCTAATGAAGACTGTCCATATATTTTTTTCTAAAATATCTTATAGACGTAACTTTGTTACATTTTTATTATAGGTATAGATAATTACTGTCAAAGTGGTCAAAATGATGAAGTTAGCAATAATGACGTGTCAGAAAATTAATGCAACGGAAAATCAACCTTGTTGTTAGTTGACGTACAAACGAACTTCACTGTAGGGTTGACTTTTGGCAGACTGTACATTGAAACCAATTGAGGACAAAATTAAAAAAATATTACCACATTACATGGATTTTATTGATATTATTATTAAAATTACAAGAAGTAGGTGCTGGGTCTCTTGTACGCGAAGGTATTGAGACGTTTGTGGTGATGCACACGCTTGGGCAGTGGGAATCTGATAGTGCTGTTGTGGAATTGCTTCACCTGCGGCCGGCGGCACGCTGCCGCCTTAATCACCTCAACTTTAATAATCTGCAATTATATAAACACAATTTTCAGATAACATTCAAATGCAGCAGCACAGCACAAGAGCAGCTGCCACATAACTCATTTGCAATGCGGTAAAATTGGAGCTACTGTGGTGCGTGGAATTTATTATAACTTGACTGGCTAGTTGTGTTATAATTAAACAAATATATACATAGATTAGATAGCAATCAAATAAAAAGTGTTTTTGGTTAAAAAGTTCACAAAACAACAGCACATCAGCAGCTACCATATATATAATTTGCAAATGTGCTACTGTGTGTGGTGCTTGAAATTGATTTTGCTTAACTGGCTTGTTGTGTTATTTGTAGGGGATAAAAACGTTAGGTTAAAATATGTATAAAAATGTTAGGTTAGTAAATAATTGGTTCTATATTTGATGTCAATTTACACAAAGAGTTTATACTTTTATTATCAAAATAAAATATAACTTTCTTTTCTTACTATTTTATTACTTTAACACATTCCTGCGTTTGACTCTTGAAAGCAAATTATGATTTCAATTTTTAAAATCTTAAAGATAAATTAGCAAAAAAAAATTTAAACTGTTATCTATATATATAAAAATGAATCGCAAAATGTGTTGGTAAGCGCATAACTCAACAACGCCTCGACCAATTTGGCCAAATCTTTTTTTAAAATGTTCGTTGAAGTTCAAGGATGGTTTTTACGGCGAGAAAAATTAGAATTATTGCTGGAAAAACCCTAAAAATAGCCCTTTTCTTTTTCCCATACAAATGATTTGTAACTAAAACGTAGTCAATTTGAGCTTTATTGCTATGGTATAAAGTTCATATTAAATTACAAGCACTCACTGTTGTCTAAGCAATGTAGGTGTGTTCCTAACGTCAAAGATCATATCTATCAAAACAATGTGCGTGTGTGCGTTGGAGCACAGAATACATAGTTGGAGGAGTTTAATGTCGCGTTCCGAAACTCGCGTTTCTTTTGTATTAGTTTCGGCACGCGAGATAAAATGCATCAGTTTCCACGTCATTACATGTATTGCCGGAACATTGATGAAAATACGCTCTGTAGTAGCAAAGCTGTTGGGTCCTAGATAGCTCATTGGTTAGAGCAGTCCCTGGATCGCGAATGGGTTCGAGTCCCATTCCGGAGTACAGGTAGATGGATTCTTCCAGCATTTTTCCTTGAGAATGTTTATATATTTTTTTAATTCGAATAGTTTACTTTTATAATGCTGTTGTGTGTAATGTGTTTTTATGATCATAAAAATCTCTTTTTTCTATATTTAATACTATTACTATTAATACATTGCAATAATAATTATGATTCACATGATTAACAATAAAGCGATTACTTACTTTTAAATCCTTATATATGTTTTATTTAATTATTTTTTATTCACAACGCCCTATCACCAGGGTGACGGTTCTGTTCAGGAGAATTTTTTTAAATACGTAGGCAAAAAAACTGCCACATTACAAATCTTTTTGACAGGACGAAGTCTGTCGGGTCAGCTAGTTATGAATAAAATTAATGGTTACCAGTGACTTCAAGATATTAAGTGTCCCTAGAGGTTATATTTCCTTTGCATAAAAATGCTAAGAAAACCTGAGTTAATCTCGAAAATATTCATATACCAATAATTGACTCATTCAATTACTTTCACATAAATTCTTTGATTTTACTTTAATAAATTACTATTCCATTTATTTCCTGCCATCAATAGTCTCATATATAAATAAATATTATACAACAATAATTTAGATCCTACATATTATCTTTGATGAACTTAGTCAATAAAATTATCCAGATCCATATCAAAAGGATACCCATGCAAAGAGAGGTGGGTCACTAGTTGAATATAATATTCTATATTATAAGTCTTTTACATACAATAAATAAATAAAAATATATTCATCTACTTTGTAAAATTGGAGATATTCATATAATATTGATATTTTTAATAATTTTAATAATTGTTCTATTTAAAGAAAAGAGTTATACAAATCTGACAAATTTCCCAACTTAATTTCCAACAATAATAGTTTAAATGTAGTCAAATCAACAACAGAAATATGACATATTGTGGTAATCTGATATGCAGCTGTGTGTACATAGTAAACACATTAATTTTTACCTGTATGGAATGGGCACGAGCTCTGTGTCTTGCACCCATGTCACGGTAGCATTGTGTGACTGCACCACCCACACTGAGGTCACGGTATTCACGGTACATGTTATGCACACCTGACCGGGATTCATACCGTAGCCAGATACCGAAGTTCTTGATCTTAATGGGACTCTTTTCAGGAATTTCCTAAGAAAATATTACTAACGTCAGTATTGAAACAAAAGAAGTTCAAATTTGGTTATTAATTTTACTTATTTCAATTACTGAAATCACTTTCAATAATAGTATTTATACCATTATAAATACAAACAATATAATTGCAATTTCTAAATAAAAAAGTAATAGATTACCTTAATAGAGACAATCTCGCCAGTAGTCTTTTTAAACTTCTTCAGTTGACGGAGGAAATACCAAAAGCGAGATTTTGCCACAATCGGGTCTGGGGAGAATATCCTCATCTTGTAAAGTGGCGGCTTGGGCTCGCTCTCCGATGGGAGCTTGCGACCAATAACTTCATATTCTTTCAACTGTAAATGGTAAAATTCGTTTTCAATATTTGTATATAAGTCAAATGAATTCCTTTCTCAGTCTTAGAAATCTTATATTTTTCTAAAGGATTACGTAGATTGCTTTCAAATAACATTTTAACAAATATAAAAAGAATATTTTTGTCTCACGATAGGGTAAAATAACTATAGACAATAATATTAAAATCAAAGCATTCAGTGCGAGAACGCCAAAATTTTTAAGACATAACCTATAAAATTACTATAAATAAAACACCGATAATACATTTCTAATACATAATGGTTTTGTTGAAACAGAGTTTTCTGGCGTAATGTGTTCTTTTTATAAACAAAGATACCAATTTAACCGAGTTATTGTGATCCAAACTTCAGCACATTGGACCGACAACGTGTATCAACACATTACAAGTTCTACCTGTTTTTAGATGATCCAAAATTATTTACATATGTACTTTATTGATAAGACATTGAACATTATTTTGTTATCACGTCACAGGTTTTTCAGACAATACATTCGAAATATCTAATAAACTTACCTCTCCTTTAGCCTTCATTTTCGGAGGATTTTACTAAAAAGAACTGTCACTACGCCAGAACAACGGAAAAGGAACCAATGACAATATGATGACAACAGCTAAAGACTAGAGACAATAAATGACTATAGTTGTTAGCTTATCGATTATATAAAGAGTAAATAAGAAACGATTTTGAAATTTTACGATTTAATAATCATCAGACTTTTTTTATTAAGTTAGGTAAACGAACAACTATTTCATATTCACAACTCACGAGATAAAAAGGAATCATCCAATTAAAACTTTTATTTTCATTTATTTCCACTGAAAATAGCTTGAAACCATCTATAATAATATTATTTATCCAAAATCGTAATTCTGAAAAAGTCTATAATCACAGGCTAACTAGTTTGGACATTTCTTGATAGGGAAACAATTATTTATTTATTAATTGTTAAATGTTGAATTAAATTAAAGAATAATTTGAAATGGTGACATATTTATTATATATTTATATATGTATTATATTTTATATGATAGAAGTTATTATATTATAGTATATGTCAGTCTATTTTAAATTAAATTATAATTAAGTAAATTACAATTGCCAATTATGTATATTTATAATTTTTTTATATGTATACCAAGCACTATCCCATCATTAGGTCTTAGTGTTTAATTCCATCCAAGATTGCCTGGAAGAGATAAGGCCGCCAATTATACGTCTCCTGTTTTCGCATAAGTGTATTTTTTCTTTGTACGCATAAGAAGAATATTCTATCAATCTATTTTGATAGGTTTTGCTAAAAGGGATCTACTGGCAGCACTAATTATCGACTTCCCTGCGGGCATCCCTATCTATCAGTTAGCTGTCATTGACAATTTATAAGCCAATATTGGTGATCGCCATCTTTCATTCATTTCATTTTCATTCTACATGGAAAAATTTATGTATTTACTTGACTACAGATAAGCCATTAAAAAAAGAAGAAGAATACTATTATATACTATTGTTGATATTGATATTTTTATTAAAGTTCAAGAAATGAGAAAAATATGTAAGTTGCTCTTTTTTTTTAATTTCTGGTATTTTACTTATTTCTTGGATTTTTTAAAAAGCTTAGTAAATGATTCTTACTTTCTGTATTTCTTTTTGGCAGTTCTTATCAGCAGAAGGGGCAAAGTATTCTGTTATCAGTAAATTACTATAAAGTATCACACAGGCATCGATATTTGATGTATCTTTCTATCACTACTTTGACATGACAGCTGATGATGTCACAGGCCAGTAAACAGAATCGTGATTGGTTGTGACGACGACCAATTATAGGACGTTTTCGTCGTTGAATAAATTCCTAATAATATTGCATTTTCTTTACGTTATTTTACTAAATCTAAACATGTTTTTTCTGCAGATGCTAAGAAATAAGCTTTATTAGATTATTATCTATCAGGATGACCACAAAATGCAACTTATTTTCGATAGTGTCAAATACCCTATTCAAGACGTTAAACCAAAGAGAATAGAATTGTCAGTGTTGTATGGATCTGATAACTCGGATTAATATCGAGTTGAAATTTAATTAGTTCGAGATTGCATGCGCAACTCGATTAATACAAAGTAATTTTTGAATATATCTATTTTTTATTTGTATAGAGGAAAATGGAAAGTAACATAATGGAAATCAATTGATTTAATGCTGTGATATAATTAAAGTGGCATTTAGCTACGGTATACAATAATATTACTGCCAAATAGTTTTTATAAATAAAATACTTATGCCATAGTAGGTCTCGGAATTTTTCATTATAATATTTAACAAAAGTTCTGAAAACAATAACTACTAGGTAAGTTAGTTTTATTGCTATTAGTTGTTTGTTGGACTTACAACAACAAAACTACATCAAGTCTCAATGATATTTTTATATTATATATGGTGAATATTCATTAATATTCATGAATAGGGATTATTAATCAGCAACAAAAATCATAAAAACGATAATTATAATAAAACATCCGATTATTATCTATACCGGATGCAATTAAAATGACTCTCCAAATTTTTTCTAGGCATTAGGTATCGTTAATAGATCACATATATGAAAAAAAAACGGTATGAAAATTTTCAAAATGAAATGTAAACTTGTTGCAATTACAAGATAATTATAACATTCGCATTGTCACACGAGTTATGAATAAAACAAGCAGGGGTAGAAGGGCGCGGGCGCAGGGGATGTACTCGCATGTGCCAACGACGATGTCTGCTCGGTTTTTTATTTTGTCGGCGCACATCAGTCGCCCGCGCACAACCTCTTTGAATACACGCACTTCCGCCTTCCGCTTCCGTGTTGCGGGCCACCCGCCGCAGCCCCACACTTCGCGTGTCGTAATGTATTCCAATCGCGAATATTATGAAATGGTGCAGTGTTACATACATGGTGATCAACGTGACGCGGAGGTCCCATCGTGGGGCCTGCGCGATCGCCGGACCTAACACAGTGTGACTTTTATTTGTGGGGCGAAATTAAAAGACGTGTGTATGTTGAGGAAGCACAAAGCCTCGAGGACTTAAAAGTGCAAATCAGAGCGGCATTTTACCAAGTGAAAAATGACACGGTTGTGCTCGCAAAATTAAAAGACAATGTGCAGAAAAGGTGCAAGACTCTGTTTGGAGAGGAACGGTATGTACTTTGAACAATTATTAAAGTATACGTAGGTAAATAGTAAAGTAGGTAGGTAAATTGATTAGTTGATTATGTACATAAAGTTGATTAAATACGCCTGATTTCAAAAGAATAGCGAGTTAAGCTTAAAAAAGATTGTCAAATACGAATCTAAAGTTAGGCTTAATAAACTTGGTGTTCCACAGGGGAGTGTCCTGGGCCCATTATTATTTATTTTATATCTAAACGATTTACCAGACATAATAAAACATAAAGTGATACTATTTGCCGATGACATTTCTATAATAATAACAACTGACAAAAACTCTTCTTTGGACCAACATAAAAATGACATAATTTGTACCTTAAAATCAATAAACGAATGGACATATAATAATAACTTAGAAATTAATCTATCAAAAACTAATTTAATGAATTTCAATAATTTTAAAACCCAATCGATTGACATAGCTTTTAACGGACAAATTCTTCAGAATGCAACAAGTGTTACATTTTTAGGACTAATAGTTACGCCAACATTGACCTGGAAAGAACAAATAGATAAAATATGCAATAAGGTAAATGGGTTTGCTTATGCATTGTACAAATTAACCAAAGTTGCAAGCTTAAATACTGCCATTACAGCCTATTTCGCGTACATAGAAACAGTTTTAAGGTACGGTTTAATCATTTGGGGTAATGGTACTGATGTAACAAGATTATTGATTGCTCAGAAACGCTGTGTTAGAGCTATATGCAATTTGACATCAGACATATCATGTAAACCTTATTTTATTTCTTTAAAAATATTAACGCTGCCCTGTCTGTATATATTAGAAGTGGCGATATTTGTGAAGCAAAACGAAAAATTCTTCGTGCGATCGAGTAATGTAACTGAAAGAAGTTTGAGAAACCCGAACAAAGTAGTACATACATCGATACCCAAAACACAAAATTTTTTAAAAAATAGTCACTTTATGTGTACAACTATCTTTAATAAAATACCCAATGATATAAAAGATTTGCCGGCTACTCGTTTTAAAATATTATTGCGTAGATGGCTGATCGAAAAAGCTTTTTACTCGATTGGTGAATTCCTTAACGAAGGATAGTTTATCAGTAATTAATTTATAAGCATGATAGTCGATACAAAGTTTTATAAATAATTTTACATAATTGCATCTGACATACTTTTGTTTATTAAACTAAATACCTTGACATGTTCAATAAGTTTAATATTTCCATTTGATATCTTATACATTTTTTAATTATTATTATTATTCTTATTTTTTTGTACAATTCGAAAAAATTGACATGATTAATAACTATTTAAATTGACAATGTTTTGACACAATTGTAATATTTTGATTAAATACTAATATTGTTAAATTGGACACAATTTTATGTAATTATGAAATATTTTAAGTTACATCAATTTTATTATTATTTTAATTTTATTATTAGGTATTATTATTATTTTTTTGCATGCTGTTCAAGATGGCTAAATAGGTCAAAGCTCTTAAACTTAAATATTACAACTGTATATATAACCCTATTTATTGCAAATAAAGACATTATTACATTATTATTACATTACATTAAAAATAAAGATACAGCAATCAACAAGAAACGTCTGTTCTAAATGAACAGCAAGGTTATAACTTTAAATTTCAAAATCACAAAGACACATACAGTCATTATACTATTGCTACTGATCTTGCATGTCGACGGCGGACGTCGAGAATGTGTAAAGTTAATTCGTGCGGTGGGTATGTGCTGTTTGTTTCTTACAATAATATTGTTAATATGACTTCCTATACAACCTACTCTAGAAATCGGTTTTATTGAAATATATTATTTACTAAGTACCTAGAGTAGTCATGGTCTCTTAAAAATATTTGCGGTAGTGTCGTGTGCGTTAGGTCGTTACGTTCCCTCAAATATAGTATAGTTTAGTTGTATTGTATAGTTGAAATTAAAAAAGCAGCCCTTGCTGAGTTTCTTGCTGATTCTTGTCGGTACAAGATTGCCTTAGTTTTGCGAACCATTGGCTAGGTTTTAACTTTCACAAGTACTATGTAACAGCCTAGACTGAATTGATTTTGATATTTATATTAATATCATTCGTTTTGTGGATGCATAATGACACATACAAATACAAGGAGAATTCTGCGCTCCACTGTTTGTTCTTCATTTCAATCCTGAATTCGGATGAATGTTACGAGCAACCAAAAAGTTGGCTCATCACTAATGTTGATGTATCAACCAAACATCGTTCCTTTACACGTAACATAATAAACAACATAAACTTACGATTAAAATAAATTAAAATTAATTTGAAAGTTAGAAGTTTGAAGAAACTCATATTAAAAAAATAATAAATAGAATGTCGTCTTTTATAT